TAGATATCGTAAACACTTTAGGTTCACACTTCTATGACAAAATTGTCTAGATGTATGCGTGCGAGCACAACAGCAATATGTTTGCGTGCGAGTGAAAGAGATGCGTAGTGCCGGGTCGTTGTACGAAATTATCTCGGTTTGTTGCTACATCCATTGTTTTATCGGTTTGCCTCACGTTACATTTCCGTCCATGTTAATGGTCATAACAACATGATATAAGCACCAGAAGCTGAGCTACTATAATATAAATATCACCACCAGCCCTTTTACGTCCCCACTGCAGGAGCTCAGGCCTTCCTTATGGATGGTTAAGGAGGATGGGCCATGACCCTCCACGCTGGACCAATGCGGATTGGAGGGTATTAACGACTGCAAATGCAGCCGGGACCAACGGCTTAACGTGCCTTCCGAAGCACGGAGTAGCTCGAGATAATAATTTTTTGGTCACCCATCCCGTGACCGACCCTAGCGAAAGTTGCTTAACGACTACGATCGCGGGCCGCGATACAAAAAAAAACCAACTCACATCCTAAATCCTGATGAAGCGAGAGAATCATTTTATTTAAAATTATAAAATCCAAATCTGTGTTGTCTATTGCTAATGTAGTTGATTCTGGAACAATGTTAAATAAAAAAATCATAATAGATGTGGCTAAATGAAGAGAGTAAATAATTTTGTAGAGAAAGAGACGGATATATAAATAAGGCAACTCACCTAATATTGATAGTGCCTCCTCGAGCACATTATTATGGTTACTGGTCAAACCGATGGTTCTCAAGGCGCGAGCTTTCTCAATGTTCCAAGGCATCATTTGCGATCCATCTAATAACCTGAACATTACAAAATAAATAGTAATTAATTGGCATAATTTATATACTGCTCAGATCTCAAGATGGTAAAGTCTTGGGTAGATTATTTTATAGATTTACCATTAGATGAAAGTAACGAGATTCAAAGCAATCTAAATATATATAACTGACTGACGTAGTGATCTATCAACGCACAGCTCTAACCACTGGACGGATCGGGCTGAAATTTGGCATGCAGGTAGATGTTATGACGTAGGCATCCGCCAAGAAAGGATTTTGATCATTTCTACCTCCAAGGGGATAAAATAGGGAATGAAAGTTTGTATGAAACTCAATTTTAACCCGATCGGGCTGAGATTTCGCATGAAAGGATTTTGATAAATTCCACGCCTAAGGGGATAAAATAGGGGATGAAACTTTATTTCAGGTATTTTATACAATATAATGAATAAACATTCGTTAAAAATGCTGCTGAAAATAACTTTACCACGCGGACGAAGTCGCGGGCAAAAGCTAGTAACAATAAAAAATTGTAACAAACAAAATACGTATATCAAAACAATAAAAAACATATTTTGAACAATAGATACACTCACACCCAGTTGCAAAACGGTCAAAAACATAATTAATGCAAATTTTCAAATTTAGCACACCTATGAGCTCGTAATCGTCATTAAATCTTATAGATGACAGTTGCCTAATGTCCATTAAGGTTTAATGACGTCTTTAAATTCTAATTAAGGTTGTAATTTGAAAATGTTTATAGATTTATCAATCATTTGCACAAATCTTCATTAAAATTAATAGTACACTAACATTAGTTTAAAGCGACATTACCCCTACACATTTGACATTCATTAGAGCTTCATTAAAATAAATGTTGTAAAACTGAGGGTAGTTTCACATATAGCACACCTAGATCTAAACAGAGACAACTCAAAAATTTGAGTGAGTATTGACTTATTGTTAGTACAATATTCAAATACTCGGTGATCATACGCATCTATCCAACATAACAGATTCAATGAAGGTTCGGGGATGAGCCGCTAGATGACTTTAGCTTTCTTTTGTTGAATCAATAGTGGTCGCGCTCCTGCCACGTAAACAAATATACTTATTGTCAGACCTCCTCTAGACATTATTTTTTGTTTAGGTGTGCGATATATTGCCATTAACATGCAGCTTTATTCACTATCGTTTTATATGAATACTTACCTGGTATTGATATCAAAGCAGTTGATCGCTAGATGAGGCAGTGACCTGTCGTTGGCTATCTTACACCACAGTAACTCGTGATCTCCTGGTACATATGTCTGGTCAATGGACTCCGTGTCCAATAAATTCACTTTCCTAAAAGCACAAAAACTTATAAATAAATAACAAGTGTGCGAAAAAAAAAGCATCGCACATAAATAATATCTAGGTTGTTTATTTTAAAATAGAAATCAATGAAATATTTTTTGCTGCCTCTCGTCTATCGACACCGTAAGCGTTTACTTGTCACCCTATTAATATTAAAAATGTGAAAGTTTCTTTATTTGGATGTTTGTCCGTCAATCGCGCCGAATCTACTGAACGGATTTTGATAAAATTTGGTATACATATATGGTATTAGCTAACTTAGATAATAGGATACTTTTTATCCCACTTAATACTTCTCTAGGAACCACACCGGCGAAGCCGATGGCGGAAAGCTAGTATTACTATAAACTTAATATTAGGCCTGGGGTGCGACCGCCTATCTCTCTAGCCACAGGCTACGAAATCTTATCGATACTTTACCGATATTTCGTTTCATTTTACTAATTTGACATATACTTTAGTAACGAGGATAGAGAATGAAGATTATGGATTTGACAGCAGTGTTGTCAGCTTAGTCATTTAATCCAAATTTATCTACCGAACAACATGTCAAAAAAGGGACAACACGAAATATAGTAATAACATCGCTAGGAAAATGAGTTAGGAGTCAGTGACATTTTCAAAAATATTAATTACAATTCGAACTTTACATACAACGTTTTAGGGTTTAAAATGGATATGTGAAATTCGACAATTATGTACAACCTCAAAGTGGCAGGACCAAAGGTTCCGGCTGGTTAAGAAGTCAAAGCAGAGAAAAGGTAACCTAAAACAAGGAACAAATAATAAATAAAAAGCCCTTATAACACCTCACCGTATCATCAGTCTGGCCGCCCACTCGGCTAGACAATCATTGGGTCTTATTTCCCCCGGCAATTTCACATTCTCGTACTCCATCGAATTTGCCTGGATAATTTCAGCTACCTGGTAAAAATAAATATCCTATAAAATCTTACATTGTTAGAAGCTAAAATTAAAAGTAGAAAAGAAAAAATAAACAAATTGAGGCATTTACTGATTTTGTCTAGTATGGATCTATGAAATTACCATAGACTACAGATCACATATTATCCCACCAATACTTGCGATATTTTTATTGCGAAATTTATCATAATAACAGCTTTTGTAAAAAAAAAAACAGTTATTTTGATTTTTTTTCCATAGAAAAAATAATAAAGACATATCTAAATAACTATTTGAAACCAGTTCACGCTTGATATAATCTTATTTATATAATAATAGTGATTTTTATTTATATTACTTAATTTTATGTGATGTTTTTATACATTATCGATTATACTCAGACACCAATTAATAATGATAACACTAAACCGATTCAGTGAAGTCTAAAATCTGACCACTCACAGTGGATGTATGGAAGTAATTCCTCGGCCACCTGTCCGTCTCCCTCAGCCACCTCAGTCCGTCCCGCTTACTCTCGTCGCGGTATGTCACCACCAGCTTATTGAACCAAGACTTGGTGTTTGTTACTGTGCATATAACGGTCAAAATTTTGTGTAATTATAATAATATGAATCGCTTGACTTCAAGGGATTTTTTTATGTAATTAAGCTTTTTTGTAGTGTTTTTTTTTTGTTTGATTCTTTAGATACCGAACCTATTTAGATTACACATATTAATATAAGACGATGAGAAGTTCGGGGGCAACTAGTAGTTATAAATCATTAATTTATTTCAACATGTAAAAGTCAGAATCTTCAGAGCGATACAAATTCACTCATGTGTACTAATAGGGATGACGACTGGGTAAAAAAAATGCAATTCTATTTAGTCCGTCAGTCAGATAATAGAAAAATATTAGATACGTATTTTTTTTTTTACTTCAATTTAACAAGAAATAGCTTAGATAACAGGCATTAAAGTTGAGGAGTGGGGGCTCGCTACGTCACAGTTGAGTAGAAAGCGTACTCTAACGTGACGTCATGCGAAATTTCAACTCAATGTAACGCCGTAATTTTATGATTACGAAAAACATAAAAAATACGTGTTTAATATTTTTTAACACTCTACCTGACGGACAAACAAACAAAAATTAGTCATCATCCCTATTCACTTCGAAAGCGAATCCTCTTTACCTTGAATTGGTGTTAACGTTTCGTGGCATAAGTGAAGTGAATTTCGAAATGACATAGGAATAGAATATCTGGCATACTTATGAATAAACTAATCTTGTTTTGTATATTTATACAAAAAAACGGACTCAATAGGATTTCTACACTAATATGAGTTAAGCGAATTCGCTTTTGAAGTTAATTTGTTCATCTGAATGAATTCGAAGCCGGGTTTTTCGCTCTGATGAAAAATAAAAAAAAAAATATTGAAACACCTCTGCAGTTGTCATCTCTGAGATTTTGAGTTTGATAAGTAAAAACGTACTATTTTTTTTTATATTTATTGTCTTCTGTTAGTCTATTTGGTAAGGATATCATTACTATTTCGAATTACCATTACTAAAACACTTTAAAGTTTGTAAGTTTGTTTGTTATTACCATTGGTCGGAATTAGGTAGAGTTATTCATGTACTTACACTGATTTCATACAGCGAAAGAATAAAGTGGATATGCCTCAAATCCCGAGATTAATTTTAAAGAGCAGAAAAAATCCCGTGATTTTTTAAATAAAAAGTTATTTACTTTTACACACGGCGTTGCCAAACTTAAATCAATGACATCGGATGTCCAAAGATGTCCAAGATTGTCCATTAGAAATCCCGGGATTAATATCAACATTAATATATAATATTATAATCCACATTAATATCAACATTTCGATGCAAGTACATAAATAACTCTACCTAATTCCGACCTCTGGTTATTACTAACCTTGGTAGATGTCGAGCCAAGATTTAAATGTATCCGTATCGACCCACAGCTGCGGCAGACCAGAGTTGACCACCTCGTTCTTCGCTTGTATCGTCAACTGATCCCAGTTGGATAGTTTCCCAAAAGCTGACATGATCTCTGATATATATAATAAACTACGTTGATGATACTAATAGTTCGAGGATGTGTTGAAGCACAGGGTCTAAATTATGCTAATTTTAAGGTAATAACAGCATTCCAATGACGTCAAAGTTAACTGCAGTCTATCATTATGTATTCTGCGGGCTAACCCGGGCCCCCGATGCGGTACTTATTTGTCTACGGGGCCTGCAACCCGAATTTAAAATGCCCTCAAGGGATTTACAGCCACTTGGAGGCCCCTCAGAACCGGAGGCCCGGGGCGGACCGCCCCCTCCGCCCCCCTTAGTCCGCCACTGTCATTGTACTATCTACCAGAAGCCCAATATTATTAATGCGACGTCTTCTTCATAAATCACGGTGACAGATATGTTTATATTATTAAGTGATGTAGTAATAAGAACTGTGTAAAACATCTGTCGTTGCAGCGCTATTTAATCGCCATAATTAGTCCGTTAAGAGATATCGAAGGCGCAGTGGTTAGGTTGTTAAAAACCTTTCCCAATGGTCGGTTATAGGATGGGTGACCAAACATTTATTAAGTCGAGCTCCTCCGTTAAGCCGTTCGTCCCGAAGCATCTGCAGTCGTTAATACCCAACAATCCGCACTGGGCCCGCGAGGTGGGGCATGGCCCATTCTCCTTATTGGATACGACTCCATCCATAGAGAAGGCCTGAACCCGAGCTATTGGGACATTAGTAGAGTGATGTTGATAAGATGAATAAAGTCCGTTAAGTTCGCAAGTCCTGGCTACATCAGAAGTCGTTGATACCTACAAATCCACAGGACACAAAAGTAATGAGACACTTGGTTTAAGTTTTTACTCTTTTATTATTATTACAATAAAAAAAGTTTAGTCAATGATGTAATTACCATTAGTATCTAAGACTTCTTGCCAACGATCCGGCAAAGTTTGGATGCCTTTTGCCCAGAACTCTGATGGCTGTGCCTCGAAAAAGTTGTTCAACTCCGCCTCTACGTCAGAGAAATCATTAAATTGTTTACCCCGCAAATGCTGTTTCAGGGCTCTAAACAAATGATAGTCTGATGGGGCGAGGTCTGGGGAATAAGGTGGGTGGGGTATCGTCTCCCAGCCCAAGTTCTCCAACTGCCGGCGAACCACAGATGCGACGTGAGGTCGAGCGTTATCGTGCAGTAAAACTACATTGACTAGTCTTCGTCGTTTTTTCTTGATAGCGGCAGATAATTTGGTAAGCTGGGTTGAATATTTGTCAGCGTTTATAGTTTCATTGTGTAATAGCTCATAAAACAGTATGCCTTGCGCATCCCAGAAACAGCAAAGCAGAATTTTTCGGCGGTTCTTTTGACTCGGCTTCGGTTGAGTTGGTGGCGTTTCTTCTCGAGGCAGCCAAAAAGCACGACGTGTATCGTTCTCGTAATAAATCCATGACTCATCTCCAGTAACCAGATCTGACAAAAACTCTTTACGTCGGGATCGCAGCAAAAGTGACTGACAGATAGCGACACGGACTGCACGACTGGCGTCTGTAAGGATGTGCGGTACCCACCGAGCCAAAACTTTTCGATAACCAAGTTCATCCAGATGGTGTTCCACGGCGTGGTGACTGCATTTAAGTGCTTCCGCTAATTCACGAGTGGTAGCATCCGGATTCAACTGCAGTTCGCGGCGCAAATCGTCATCATTCACTGCGGGTGGTCGCCCTGAGCGTGGCTGACTTTCAAGGCTCCTGTCTCCTGATTTAAAACGGTCAAACCATCGGGACACCGTCGCATGGCTTGTACTTCCAGCGCCTAATGCATTGTTGATATTGTCAGCCGCAGCTAAACAAATCGCGAGCGCGGCTTTATATACCCTACACCAGAAGTACCTAGAATGTTCTACAACATTCTAGAATATTATCGAAAAAAATGATTTTAAAAAGGAAATGTTATAGATTTTTCTAGTGTGTCTCATTACTTTTGTGCCAACCCAATATAGGTTGTTATAAGTTTAGTGTAACAAGTATCTCAAAACTCACCATTTAACGAAGCAGCTGTTGGTTCCACGTCCATAGTGGTAGCGTCTTCACATTTCGCAATACTACAAAAATAAACAGACATTAGGAAAAATAAATTTACATTCATTAATTATATTATCTGTAGCTGTTAAAATTAATGACGACCTAAAATATTAGAAGTAATGTTCAACCAATCAGAGCGCACATGGCGTTTGTTTATTGCTTACTTATTATTTTACGCATGAGTTCGGTAAGTTTATCAATTTACAAAAATGTGAGCGTAAAATAATAAAATTTATCTCTCTTTTAGAATCCTATGAAAGTTTATAAATTTCCTAGGAAATTTATCAATTTGCGGTTTTTGTTATTTTCCGGCGACATATACATCAAATATCTCAAGACATGTCCATACTATGATAACCATACCTTATGTAGGAAAAACAGCTACCTAATATCTACCACTTAAAAACTATGGCTGCAGAAGTAAATTGCTATGTCTCATTAAACCTATACACGTTTAGACAACAATCCTATTAATATTATAAATGTGAAAGTTTCTATGTTTGGATGTTTGTTGGTCAATCACGCCGAAACTACTGAACGGATTTTGATGAAATTTGGTATACATATAGGGTATTAACTGACTTAGATAATAGGATACTTTTTATCCCACTAAACATTTCCCTAGAATCCACGCGGGCGAAGCCGCTGGCGAAAGCTACTGTGATTATAATTGTAATTTGCATTATATTCTGATCAAAAAAATCTTGAATGTCATAAATGTCTGTTAGATTCTTAAACCTTGATCATTATATAATAATAATTACAATTATAATCACAGTAGCTTTCGCCAGCGGTTTTTGAAATAAGAAAAAAAATAAGCTTTTTTTTAAATAGCGAATCCACTTTCAAAAAGAAGTACACATTCTATCCTCATCGCTTCCGCACTAAGCTTTTAGCTAACTAGATATTAAGTCACAAATCTGTTTATAACTACCACAGTTTAATCGATATTATGAATACACATATACATAGCTCAGTAAATTATTAGAATATTTTAATTGTTAATCTATTAGAAGACCACTTACGGCAATGAAAATATATCCTCCCCACTCCTCAGCATCAATTCTTCACAAATCAGTGTGGTCAAAGCTTCCCCTTCCGTACATTTGGTCAACTGTCGTAAGTTCTCAAGGGAATTTTGGAATCTGTAGCAGATTACGTAGATGATTTTAAAACACAGACAATTGAGCGGTGTTCTATCAAAATCCACGAAAATGATTTAAAAATCGATAACTTAGATATATTTACATATATTATTTATATTTAGTTTTTGAGAGAAGAAATTGCAATAGGTTTAATTGTTGTGTGTTTGTTTATAAAAGATTTAGCCACTAAACTTGAAATTTTAAAAATGTATCTTTTAAATTATATACGGTGTCTTTACATTAAAAAAAAAAAAGTTTTTAAACTTGTTGAGAGCCCTCAATATTACTTATTCTAAAACTCCAAAAAACAGAGCTTATTATATTTTAAGGTTCTATAATGTGGTATCAATATTATAAAGAGGGTTAAGTTCTTCCTTAAATATAAAGGTGTCATCTAAATTTTAATAATATAATTGATTCAATATTAAGCAATTTGGATATCAAAAGAATACTTAATAAAATACAACAGAATACTGAATAATTATAAAGATGAAAACTTTGTTTGTTTGTTTGAATAGTCTCAAAAACTAATGTACCGATTTTAGAAATTTTTTGACCATTCGGAAGCTACATTATCCACGAGTAACATAGGCTATAATTTATTTTGGAAAAAAAAATAGGGTTCCGTAAGATATTTGAGTGTAAAAAATCAACCAGAAAAGTTACTTATTTTGCGTAAGCTGCCTAAACTATAAATGATAGAACCATAAAATGTTCTTATTAATTGTAGATCTTATAAATATCTACAAAACACACCGCGACACACTATCTATGTCGAGTGAGGCACAACAACCATTTTTTTATTTTTTTTGGACTACATTTTACCGCGTTTATTTTACTCATGCTATTAATCCTTATCAAAATAAATTATTTCATCACTAATCACAGTTTATGTAGATAATATTTGGTCTTTGAATGATTAAAATTGGACGTTTGGTTTTGAAGTTATGGCGAAATTAAAATATTACGATTTCTGCTGCACGGCGAATTGGGCGTCACCAAGGCGGGGGTGCGCGGGGGGAGTTTAGATCAATGAGTAAGGTGCTCAGACGCGAGGGATTTTGATGAAATTTGGTATACAAATATGGTATATGCTGACTTAAATAATAGGATATTTTTATCCCCCTAAATATTTCTCTAAGGACCACGCGTGCGAAGCCGCTGACGAAAGCTAGTATTTTATAACGGTTGATATAATACTGACCGGGGCGTGGTGTTGATGTGGTCGAGCAATGCCCTTCGGACGAGCAGCGGCAGCGGCGTGAGGTCCCCGGGCGAGGCGTCCAGCGCGTCGTCCAGCGCGCGGGCCAGTGGCCCCCCGCCGCCCCCGCCCTCGCCCCTGCCCCGCTGCCCCACCACGCTCTTCACTACTTGCAAGCATAACGCTTCAGCCACGTCCGGCTTGTCCTACCAGTCATTATCAAATCAATATGCTTGAACTATAAACAGTTTCATATAAAAGCATATACAGGATTATTTGGGTAATTTAAAATTGAAATTATAGGAACAGAAGAGCTAGATGGCGCAGTTATTAAACGACCTTCGCGAGGGCCGGCCGGTCGGAGGATAAATGACAAAAAAATTATATCTCAATCTCGACCGTGCTTCGGAAGGTACGTTTAAGTCTGCAGTCCTTAACGCTCACTGATCGGCCCTGAGCCCTCATAGTGGATCTTGGCCCTATTTGGTTTGATTCTAATTTCAGTCATAGCAAAGGCCTTAGAAGTCAGGACGATAATAAAATGGTAATAATGATGGATTAAACAACATTTTGATCACAAGTCTTAAAAAAGCTCAATATTTAAATTTTTTTTTTTTTTATTTATATTGCACTGTCATTAAAGGAGGACACTTAAATTCACGCATCATATAATTAATATTAGAGTCTTATATTAAATTGAATTTTTGTATAAAAGTTAATGTAATTAATTATCAAAAAGTTAAAGCAAATCAATTAATAAAATATGCTTACCATAAATTATTATAAATTAACGTAGGTATATTAAATCTTAGAATCAGTAAAAAAAAAAACTAAATTTATGGTGGAAGTTAATGTTCTTTAACTAATAACCCTGTATAGAATAGGTAATGTTATATTAATTCAATAAGGTTACAATATTTTCTAAATAACATAACACGAACTGTATCAGCAAAATATTATATGACGTACTCTTATTATCCCCCCTTTAGGTTAAATATTTTATAAGCTGAATACTGTGCTATACTGGAGATGTAGGGTATGTTCCGATATACACTGCGAGCACTGCGCAGTGGTCTTACTGCTGAAAAATCCGTTCCGTTATGGACTGCCAGTACACTGCTACAGTACCCTAGGGAAATTCATGACGTCATAAATTGCCGCCATATTTGTACTGTGAGCACTGGAGATTTCGAAGTAAGGTGCTGGCAGTGCTTTTGATCACGTGATCAGTCGAAACAGAATCAGAAAATGATAAGTTTCTAAATAAACAAAAAAAAATACTTACGTTTATTATAAGATGGATAAATAATTTTTTTATACAATTTTCCAATTTTATAATATTTTCTTTTGAAAAGAGGGAATCTTTATATTTATATTCACCTTGCATTAACAAATTTGAAAATGGCGCCAAAAATAGGATTAACAGTATACTGGACTGCGTTCCGTTTTAAAAAGTCACCAGTATAACTAGCTATAAAGGAACGGGCTTCCAGTATACTAAATTGACGTCATACTGTTCAGTGGTCGCAGTGTATAACGGAACATACCCGAAGAACCTGGAAGTTAGTATTATTTCTCGCTACCACGCGCCGCTATTTTAATAGTTATGTTGTTTCTATCTCAACTAACTTCTTCTCACCTAAATACATAAGGATTTACTATTCACAATAGATCTACTATTAAGTTTTAAAATTTCTAATATAGGCTAATTAAATATGTAAACTTCTATCCAATAAAAAACACACCTTTGCAAATTGTATCATAGTTGTAAGAATTTCATCTATAGACATCTCGACGTCAATACAGTCCGTTGAGGGTTCTGTAAACAAACAATAAGGACTAAATTTCATTAGGATAACGTGAACTAACCATTTAGTTAGTTAGTTAGTCAAAATCTTAATTTACCAACTTATTATTATGATCTTGAAACGATAAACATTAAAATTAGTAAAAAGTCGTTTTATTATAATTGATCGAACAAAGTTAAAAAATGAAAAATTTTATTTACTTGTACTTTGATTAAATAAGGCTTAAGTCAGGCCTGAGATTTGACTGGGCAAACCTCGTAGCGTCGGAGTTTTGATATTTGACTGTAACATCAACAGAATCTAGCACATTGACAAGATTTCAGACACAAAAATCAATGAAAAATTCTCGCTTAGTGACATATTTATACGAATTATGAGAGAATGAAAACGAGGCATATTCGCTTAAAAGTGGTAGACTTCGGCTTTGACTTTGAGATTGGAGAATACCTCGATTGGACTCAAAATTTACTTTTCAATGCAGTTGCTCGTAAAGCGCTATTTTTTAATCCATTGTAAACACCCAAAGTGAGGCTTTAAACACGTGTTAAATTAAAATGTACTGAAATCCTTTACTGCACACGTGCTTAATAGTATTTTAAACAAAATTGATGAAAATATGTCAAACTTTAGAGGCTTTATTTCAAGGAGCCTAGAACGAATATTTTCAAATAAAAATGTATGACACGAGAAAATGTTCAAATATCACGTTTAATTTTAACAATAATTTTTACCTTTAATTCATACTTAGTTTTATTAACCTATATATTTGTTTTATTTCCTCGCAAAAAGCATTGAACAATGTTGTAAGAAACTTGAGCGTAAAAGGTTTTTCGAATTCGTGCCAATGAAATTTGGCCCTTATTCGTAAAACCTTACTTTCCGCACTCGTATCTTAAATAACTATTATGTATTGACCTTTAATTGAGAGATATAATACGATAGCTAATATAATAAATATGGCATCTTTCTAACGTTACCTTTGACTTTTTTTATTTTTCTACTGGCAACGCTTAAGAATGTACCGTGGTAAGTTCTACTGTTAGTCAGCAACTTGGAAGGTCCAGCGGTCGATTCCCTGTTGATACACAAAACTTTTATTTGCATTTGTAATACTAAAACCCTGTCTAAGCAATAGAGACTTTATTTCATGCCAAAACGAGTAGAAATTCAAACAAGTCTACTTGTAAAACAGTAAAAAAAATACGTTCAAACATAATAACGACGATAAGTGTTGTCACATTTAAAAACTTGATAGTTTTTTGGGTAATTTAATTAATTTTAGTGAAAAATAAATAAACAAATGTTTAACAACATCACATACATTGCTCAAATTCCAAGAGGAGTAGCTGAAGCCCCAGTATTATGGCGTATCTGAGACAACCAAGGTATCACAACACCCAGAATCGAGACAATATAGAAAAGTTCATTTTCTACATTGACTCGACCGGGAATAGAACCAAGGACCTCAGAGATGGCGACACCTTGAAACCGGCGTGCGAATCACTCCGCTACGGAGATGACGAGTTCGAATTTTCAAAATACACAAACATTTGCTTTGACGATTTTTTTATTCCCATATTTTATTTGATCATATGATAGAGATACGTTTATTTTTATTTTCGGGTCAGTTTTTAAATCAAACAAATTGAAAACGACAACTAACTCTTCGTAAGGCAATCTTATAATACTAACGTAAATTTTTATCTTTCTATTGGTTTCTATTGGCTACAAAACAACAAGTCTGATGATGCCTCACCTTATTCTCAACGGTCTCTCGCTGAGTTTGAGCGCTTGGAAGCTGGGCTGACTCCTCACATGTTTGAACAACATCTCCAAGAAGGCCGACACACAGACAGACATGTTATCGTTCTTATTAGTGGCCGGTATAGTTATAGCTATCGTGAAACACTCTACTAATCTAAAAATACACGTGGACAAATTTATACTTTCGTCGTATATTCTATTATCTTAAAACATACAACAAAGGTCTTAGAAAATTATACCAAACAGTACACTACAAGTATCTAATGTGGATCACCCCTCCTCTAGCGCGAAATAAAATGAACTTCAATGTCTTAAAAAAAATTTTAAATGTATCAAAACCTTATAATAATAACTAAAGCATAGAAACCGCGCTAAAGTAGCCAATAAGCAAACAAGCAAGATTTGTATAATATCAGTCATGTCCAGAGGTCGGAATTAGGTAGAGTTATTTATGTACTTGCATCGAAATGTTGATATTAATGTGGACAATCCCGTGTGGCCAACAATCTTACAACTAAATAATAATAACAACGTCAGAGATAGACAAATAAAACAAAGATAATTAACATAAAAATTTTATTAGTTTAAATTAATTTACAATACAAATTATTGCAACTTTGGACATCCGATGTCATTGATGTAAGTTTGGCAACGTCGTGCGTGCAGTAGTTTAAATTGTGTAAAAGTAAATAACTTTTTATTTAAAAAAATCACTTGATTTTTTCTGCTCTTTAAAATGAATCTCGGGATTTGAGGCATATCCACTTTATTCTTTCGCTGTATGAAATCAGTGTAAGTACATGAATAACTCTACCTAGTTCCGACCACTGGTCATGTCTCAATTTAAGTAAGTTGTCATAAGTTTTTGCAAACCCACAGATTTACCATTTTTACCTTAGTGAAGTTCCTTGTCGACATTTTATCGATTAAAACGAATTGACATTAATTAAGATAATAAGTCAAAATTTATGAACGTATTTTAACATAACCGTTATAACAATTAATTATGAAATATTTTGAAAATGGCTACTTTTATATAAACAATATCTATGTAGTATGTTTTAAAATAAATTGTAGTATTTTCGATTTATAATCTGCGATTACAAAATACGACATGCGCTTACAATATCACAAGCACGGCGCGTGCGACAGAGATGCGCATACGCTCGGCGGGCGACGTAATGCGTGACGTCAGTCATCTCCGTTGGTCCAAGGCGCATAAGCGGAGCGTTTTTCTCTCAAATTTTAGGGCGGTTGCCCAAGTATAAAATTGGAGCGGCTAGCTCGCCACAACATAGCATTGCGAGTGCAACCAATACTCTGGTTTATTGAAATGTGACGACACAACTCGAAATGTCGAATGACAATTTAAATTTATGATTAAAAATATGTTTTATCTTTATATATTAAAACTTTTTGGAGAAAAATATATCTGATAGCGGTAAAATATGATAACGAAGAAATTAGCCAATCGGGCGATCACTGGTCTATTTAATCTCACAAAGCTGTAATATAATATCAACACGACTGACCTGACAGCCATGTCAGTGGCACACAGACAGTCGGCGACGCCCGCCCTCGTGGCGGCGGCGATGCTCTCGTCGGCGTCGGTAACGCCGCGCGACACACACTCTATCACGCGGTCGGCATCGGGGCAATCGCCCCCGCTCAGTAATACACTATTGTGCAATGTTTTGTCGGTTAATTTACGCCTTTTGTGAGGCGGCTCAGCGTTGCGAGGTGCAAAGAGATCTGAGATGACCAACAAAAAAATTATATTACAATCCCTATACTGTGATTTTCTTATTAGATGACCAAAATGAGCTCAATTAAAAATAATATTCCAAACACACCTATATTAAATAATTCATTAATGTCTTAAGGCTGTATAGGCCTATTGATATGCTCAATAATTAGGACATCAATATGCTAATGACGAAATCCAAATAATATTACCTAGAAAAATATAAATTTCAAGTATTCGAGTTATTTGAACTGACCTTCGAATATCTTCAAAGCCACCTCCATAGCTGGTCTCCTCACTTTAACGTCAGTGTTGTTACATAAACCAGCGACAATGTTCACTATTTTCCTCCTGAGCCGACCGCCCATCCCACGGCAACCATGCTTTACTACATACAGAGCCTCCACACTGTTCTCCTGGAGGAGCGTGCATATATCTATTATGTCGTACATGTCCATTATAGAGCTCGTTAATTCGGCGGCATGTTCTAGAATCATAACATTATAATATCACTTCTGGCCCTGGTACTAAGTTTTGTTTGTGTTCAGCGCTATACGTATTATTCTTCCGTACATCTAGATCAGTCATCATCTCAACATTCACTCCTTTGAAATGAAATGAAAATATCTTTATTCAAGTAGGCTTATTACAATCACTTTCTTTTTCCTCTACCACTCGTTCGGGACGTCTTTTAGCTGACAAGAAGAACAAGCGAAAGAAACTTACCAGCTCTTTATCATAAGTAATGACATTTACATAAATCATGTCATTACCAAAATAATATGTATTATCACAATAATAAATACAACTTTCAAAATCTGAAGGACATATAATACTTATAATTAGTCGTTATAGAACAAAGCGAAGGCTATAAATTCCATGCATTGCGATCCTTAAAATAATCTTTCTTACACATATCAACATTCACACAGTAGATAGCAGGGTCGCGGAACAAGAAGAATTCCGTACGTTGACCTCTGCGCCTCCTGATAGATATCGTAAACACTTAAGGTTCACTTTACTATGACAAAATTGTATAGATGCATCTGTGCGAGCGCAACAGCAATATGTTTGCGTATGAGTGAAAGAGATGTGTAATGCCTGGTCATTGTACATAACTCTCTCTGTTCGGCGACGGTGTTATATCCATTGTTTTATGGTTTACTTCTCGTAACATTTCCGTCCATGTTAATGCTCATAACAACATGATATAAGCACAAGACATAAAAGGTTCTGGGATTTACATAAACAAAAAAAAATATCGTTAAATGCGATACTCGAGAACGGCTGTATTAGTATAAATATAAAAAAAAACTCACTTTAAAGCCGAGGATCTGATAGAGAAAGAAATATAGAAAAAAAAAAAACATGTAGAAAGTATAAGTCAAAATCAATTTCAGAAATTTGACATATTGTGGTGCAGCCGCGTGTACATACCTATTGTAATATTAGTATATATGTATATATTTGATTTGAATATTTTAATAACTCCCGGTCGGGTTAATGTAGAAAAACGACAATATAGAAAAGTTTGTCTCGAGTATGGGTGTTGTATTACGCTCATTCTTTCCAATTTTCATAAAACAAGTGCTTTACTTGATGCTAGCATATTTATTTGTTTATTTACTATCCACTCACCCACATAGGTCGCTAATATTTTCAAACACCAGGTTTTGTTAGTTCCCACCAACTTTGGTGTCAAATCTGTGATGGTTCTGCAACATAATGAAATGCTTGCTACATACGACACACTTAACCCAAAATTTTGCAAATTGGTCACCTTTAAGTTACGAGGATTACGATTCATAACTAGATGTATAACGATTGCACTTTCTAGAAAAAAATAGAGAGTTTTAACTACCAATAAAACTTACCTATTATTTTTCCTAAAGATATCCGGAATCCATCTTGAGTCAAGCATCATCCTTTTTGTGACGTTTCCGGTCCAAAATACTACCTCCCATCTTACTTCCGGCGCCTGTGCTGCCATCTAGTTTGCGGGTAGCGAACCAATGACTTTTAGGCACGAACGCTTACCGTCATTATACCTACTCTAGATGCACCAGGTAGAACTTACCTGGATTCCGGATATCTTTAGGAAAAATAATAGGTAAGTTTTATTGGTAGTTAAAACTCTCTATTATTTGTTCCGTTCGATATCCGGAATCCATCTTGAGTGATGTGTTTGTTATCTCCTGGTGAGTGCCATTGGTGACGCTATAATGTGTTGCAGGTATAAAAAGTCAAATGTAGTCTGATGAGAAAAAATAATGCATATTATAAGTATATTATGCTATTACATACATAGTACATATATTATGCTGTTACATAACAATGCAATTATAATAATTATTCAAGTATTTCGGTAATCTAAGCTAAATAAATATTGGCTTATCTGTTATCGGTCAATATCATTAATGAATTGAATGGAATAATAAAAATGTAAATACATAGATATCGGAATTTTCTTGATTGTCCGATTTATCAGTTTTCGATAGGACTTCCTAAAAGTATGTTCTTGGCGCCAGTTTTACAGTTTCAGTAATTTATCCATCGGAAACAATTCCAGTCAATTTAGAGATGGAACTGCAGATGTAATAGACCCTGAAGAATCTTCTACATTATGTGCTTCTATTTAGCATTTTTGAGAACAGAGTAGTTAACTCGTGAAAATTACTTCTTTTTGGGGCTCTTTCAATACAAAAATTGATCGCGTGTCCAATACATGCAATCGAATGATTTGTGTCAGTTAATCATTTCTATCCAGGCTGTCATAATTACTATTATCTGTTTTTAATACAAAATGGGGTCATAAGACAAAAAATCATTTTCGTTACTTCAAAGGTTAAAAGGGTTAAATAATGGATTCTGCGACCTTGAAGATTGTGAAATTGTGCTAAATTTCCAGCAACTTAAATAGAGTCAATTCTGCCAATTTCTACGTAAAATTTCCATTGTACTATATACCTGAAGTCTAATATTATTTGTGCAATGTCTTCCTAACAATTCAATATTGACAGATATATTTATTATTTTATGATCTAGTAACAAGAATGTGTCATAAAGGGTTGTAGTCGAAGCGCTATTGACCCTCCACCATTACGCCGACATTAGCAGAATTTCCCTACCGGGCACTTGTTATTTGCAGAGTTAATACTAGTAGATATTTATAGTCGCTTTACATTAACTCGATAGTTTCAAGATTTTCTTTATTTTATTTTATTCTGCCCGACTTTTAAATAAATTTTCTGAATTTCGGGGGATGAACACCTGTTGCCATACCTATTGCAGTATTTGCGGAAACAAATCGTCAGCCAAGACACTTCGTCCCATTTTGGAACAATCATAATGTACTTACTTGCCTTGACGCTTACTGGAGTCGAGAAAGTATTTGCGGAATCATGTTTGAATAAGGCCAGCTTGCATTTTCACTGATGACGTCATGCGTTATGACCTATTAGTTTACTCGTTCGTCACATCCATTGTCATGTACCTGGGAATGACGTGTGCTTTTGTCGATGGAATAAGTTCACATCTGGTGAACGTTGGGCTGCTAGATTTAGTATTCAGGCTATGCATAATATCTGAATCTGCCTTGTTCGTGTCATAATTACAATAATATCCTAGATTTGGTCCCCCATCTTTGTTTATGTTCGGGAATCAGTACAGTTCTCTTAGCATTTACATCTAGGCATTCCGCGAAATGAAGACTCGCGTGAGTAATTGCCTCGAGTTGAGCACTCGAACAGATTTCCTATGCACCTGTCCTCGGATGTTGAGCGATTTGCGTTGCATTTATTGGAAGGTATCATGATACAACAGTTACCATTTAAAGTCATTCAGTACTGGGTCTGGTAATCCGAATAGGTAGTAATAGTTTTAAGCTGTCGATGTTAGTATTGCAGTGTGCGACAGTGTAACCACCCTCTTCGAATCACAAACGAGGCAAAGTCGAGTCTCCCCATTAGGAACTGGGCCTGTCTGAGGGACTAACCGCCTTGTACAATCTGATGCTGAAGTGCCATGCGTAGCGGGAAGCGTTCGGTTCAAACAGGGACTTCACTAAATGTTCAGTACTGAGTCTGGTAGTTTGATTCGGTGGTAATGGTGATCTTTGGGCAACTGTCGATGGTAGTATTGCAGTGTGCGATAGTGTAGTCACCCTCTTCGAATCACAAACGAGGCAAAGTCGAGTCTCCTCATTAGGAACTGGGCCTGTCTGAGGGACTAACCGCCTTGTACAATCTGATGCTGAAATGCCATGCGTAGCGTGAAGCGTTCGGTTCAAACAGTGACTTCGCTGAATGTTCTGTACTGAGTCTGGTAGTTTGATTCGGTGGTAATGGTGATCTTTGGGCAACTGTCGATGGTAGTACGAGGGTCAAACTGAAAGTTCTTAGAACTGGCCACTTATAAACAATATAATAAAAAAATAATTCTAAAATTTGAAAATATAACTCTTTGCCAATATTACTGAGTATATATTTCATTCATTTGTCATTTGTTTTACGATTTGGCGGCAAATTGAAAATTGTCTGTGTCACGTCATCATGAATTTAACACGAGAAAATTTTCGTGCAATGATTTTTTATGACTTTCGATGTCATTTAAGTCAACAAGAAAGTTATGATAGACTACGATTGGCCTTTCACGATGAAGCCCCATCTCGTGCGACTGTTTACAACTGGTTTAATGAGTTTAAACGTGGTCGCACTAATCTCACTGATGATTTACGTGAGGGACGGCCTTCTACGGCGACGACTGAAGATAACATCTGTGTTGTGCGGCGTATGATAGAGACTGACAAAAGAGTGACCTATCAACAGATTCGGACAAGCTTAGGCATCGGTATGAGTCAAGTGCACAAAATCCTCCACGAACATTTAGCGGTCAGGAAGCTTTGCGCCCGGTGGATACCTCATAATTTGACTGAGGCTCAAAAACTCCATCGTGTGGATTGGTGTCGTAAAATGATTGAAAGATTTAACGGAGGTGACTCAAATGCTGTGTTCGACATACTAACAGGTGACGAAAGCTGGATTTACTGTTATGATCCTAAAACCAAAAGACAATCTGCTCAGTGGGTGTTTCCTTTCGAGGAGTTGCCAACTAAAGTGAAGAGAGATCGAAGTGCGGGAAAAAAAATGGTGGCCTCGTTCTTTGGAAGGATAGGTCATTTTGCAACAATTGTGTTAGAGGATCAAAAAACAGTTTCTGCAGAATGGTACACTACCAATTGTTTGCCACTTGTCTTGGAAAAAGTTCGAGAGAAACGACCTCGCAGTAGGATCCTCCTTCACCACGACAACGCCTCGTCGCACACCGCCAAGCGAACGATCGACTATTTGGCGACATCAAACGTTGAATTACTGGGTCACCCGCCGTATAGCCCCGACCTCGCGCCTTGTGATTTTTATTTATTTCCAAAAATTAAAGAAAAACTTAAAGGAAAGCGGTTTATGAATGCTGAAGAAGCGGTGGCTGCGTATCGCGATGCCATTGAAGAGACCCCTAAGGACGAGTGGGCAAAGTGCTTTTCCCAGTGGTTCCATCGCATGCAGCGGTGTATTGACGTGAATGGACAATATTTTGAAAAGATATAATAAAACTAATAACTGGCTAATGTAATCAGTTTTTGATTTTCTAAGAACTTTCAGTTTGACCCTCGTATTGCAGTGTGCGACAGTGTAATCACCCTCTTCGAATCACAAACGAGGCAAAGTCGAATCTCCCCATTAGGAACTGGGCCTGTCTGAGGGATTAACCGCCACGTGTAGTCGCCTCGTGCTGAAGTGCCATGCGTAGCGTAAGGCACTTCGGTTCCGACAGGGACTTACCCCTGACCTCCCCGGCACTTCCCGGCACCTCGTGACCGCGTTGGTCACGATGCACCAGGCAACGCCGAGGAAGTTCAGAACCAGCACGCACTGCTCGAAGTTGAGAGACCACCCTAAGCGCTGCTATTGTGGTAGCGCAGTTGTTGTGTTGGTCTATGTAGCAAAGTTTTTGAGTACCGATGGCAGTCCAAAGAGACACGTCAGTTGCATTAGGTAGGTTGTTGTATGCCAGTCTCAAGAACCTGTGAACCAGATGTTGTTCGGCGATACTCAAATGAAAATACTTTTGGCTCGGATATATTTTCGTAAACCATTCGTTTTGTATGAGAATGTTCGGAATACGAAAATTATTGATCAGTCGAAAAGGTTTTATTTTGACAAATCAGTGTCGTTTTAAATGTAATTGTCGGGCTTTAACATTAGAAAAGGAAATGATACAAAACAGGGTGTTTTTTGTAATCTCTAGTATATTAATTTGAGCATTGCAAACGATATTTGAAGATGGCTTAAAATCCCACGCATAAAAATATAATTTTTATACCATCACATACCTACATAGTTTAGATACCAAATGATATAGTTAAACACTTGTATTATGGAAATCTGAAACAACGAAGGTAACAACACCCAGACCAGAGACTATAGAAAAGCTCATTATCTGCATTAACATGACCGAGAGTGGAATGCGGGAGCTCAGAAATGGTGACACCTTGGAACTGGTCAGCCACTCGCCCAAGATCCGACATATGCAATCTGGAACATCCTGATTGTTCCATAAAGTTACAGATCGCATTAGATAGCCCCCTCCAATGTATCATGTCATGCATTGTATTTATTTCTAAAGTTTAATGAACTGGTCTCATTACCATTTAAATATTGGTGTGTACTTCTGGTAATCTACCTTGAATCAACTTGCAGTTGCAACCATTTTATGCACCCCCTTGTTTTTTGGGTGCAATATACTATTATCAAAGAAGAACTTGTTCGTTCTTCCTATCAGCCAAAAGACGCCCCGAACGAGTGGTGGGGAAAAATGTTGGACGATTCAAAAGAGAAGTCTATTTGGATAAATATTATTTTGACTTTGACTTTGAACTCTGAATTTGGCAAAAATTTCTAAAGGCACCTCAAAAACTTCTCCACGGCTCTGAACACATCAGTGCGTCTGCCACTTAATATTTGGAAAATATAATCCTTGATGAATGTTGATTAGATTTTATCAAAAAGCTCTTTAGCATTAAGGTCTTTAGCAATAGATCAATCTACAATTTGTTGTAAACTAGTTCTAAACTAATTGTTTCATACTTTAATTCTGTTAAGGTATTTGTTAATGCTGTAGATTGTACCATTTCTATAAAATATAACTATAATGATTTTTATTCTCGCAAATAAAGATCTTAAATCATCAATTGTTGTAGCAGAAACAAATCGCCTCAACTTATAATTTAATTTGAGCATGTTTCATCTAATTTGGTTTCACCATAGACTGGGTCTTTAACGTTATTAAGAAAAAATAAATCCTATTTGAACTTATGTTGATTGTTTTACTATAGTAGGTACATAAAGAAAATTATTACCAGTCGTAACCGCTGCAAGTAGGAACTGTTCAGGACCGTGGGGTCGTAGGGAACGTGATGGTGGCTGTGTTTGCCATAATTGCGGTCCTGGTATGGATACTATGTGCTATTTTGTTATGGAAAAATGCACAGGTGGATTTAGTTTTCCAGTTTTTATCATGCATTATCAAAAATGTCACTGGTTGGGGTAACAAATCGAATGCAAATCACTTACAGTTTTTCTCGCCTCTGTACCTTACTTGCTCTCTCCGAGCTGGAATCCGACGACACTGTTCGACGAGCTCGAAGACAATAAACAAGCCTGCTTCAATGCTGTTTTCTTTGTTTATTTCGTTGTCCCGTTGCTCCATCGCGAAGGGAGGTTAATTTTATATTCATTTCATTTTAATTTTAACACTAAACTATATAATAATAAGTATAATTCGTGCACATTTTATGTAGGACCGATGTTTTCGTCACGAAAAACGACGCTATAATGACGGTAAGCGTTCGTGCCTAAAAGTCATTGGTTCGCTACCCGCAAACTAGATGGCAGCACAGGCGCCGGAAGTAAGATGGGAGGTAGTATTTTGGACCGGAAACGTCACAAAAAGGATGATGCTTGACTCAAGATGGATTCCGGATATCGAACGGAACAAATAATACTAAATTATCATTCTTCTTTTCATTACATCATGCTATTTCTGCATCAGTTAGCAAAACCTTACAAACCGTTGGATAACCATAAGGTTATAATTACAATTACAATAGTTTCCAAGTGTACCAGAATCTGATGGCAAATCGATAAATTCATATTTTTAGAAGGCAACATTAGGAAAACGGGAAAACGACGTCTCGATACTTGTAATATTTTATTATATTAAAAACTTTTAAATAACTGCTTCATAGCATTACTCCGGTTTTAAATTTTGCTATAAACATTAAAAACAATATTTCTCGCCTCATATATCAATGGCTTTTTGTGCATTTTCACAAAATAATATTTTCACAAATATTCACAACAATTTACACTTTGATTTGACGGTTGTCAACAGTTGTCAATTTATATTGCCATATGAAAATCGATATATATATATATATATATATATATATATATATATATATATATATATATATTGTACCATCAGATTCTAGTACACTTACAGCAGTGTGTAAAGCGTATATTGACACAAAAAAAAAAAACAATAAAATACTAAGGCTTACTTGAACATATTTCCATCCACAAACTGTGGATAGCCTTTCTGTGTATAATATAACAATTTCACGTAATCGACGCCGCCCGCCCTCCTCGACAGGAACTTGCGGTGCTGAGACAGGTATACAGCCCTCTCACTCTCATTCGTGCACGACAACAAGTAGCCCATCAGTTCGGACAGTCTCGGCTCTTGTGACCAAAGTTTTCCGTCCAATTCGGACAAAGTTGATAATAAATTGTGTATATATACTTTGTGTTTGGCAAGTGTTAGTAACACTGACAGGAGATATTTCGACTTTCTTGGATCTGCAAGAATATACTGGTGATAGGAATTGTTATCACCAATCTATTGATGATGATTATGACGATATAATGCTTCCTACTCCTTGTAAATAAAAATAAAACACAAGCAGTGTTATAAACAAGGTTTAGCGTTGGAGTAAACTTACGCTGAGACTGCACTTAGTATTAATCAAAATTCATATTATTAAACAGAGACTTAATAACGGTAAACCTAGTACAAGATTCAACGGGAGTATTGTTTACTCTTTGAAGGCAGTAGGTTTGTTTATTCTCTGTATAATATGAATTTGGACCAATACTTAAAATTGCAATTTTAGCCTAAACTTACTCTGACGCTAAACCTTGTTTATTAATAGCACTGAAGGAGTATTTATAATGCTATTATCTGTCTGTTTGTCACATGGACATGCCACATTCAGTACGATTCGAGCGTATAATGCATTATAGACGCATTTTAAAAAATTGTGGAATATTCGTGAACACAAATTGGACAACTAGCAGATGTTAATTAATTAACCACAACAAGTTACCAATACAGGAGATGTATTATATATTTAAAATACCTACATACAATTAAATAACTTAAGAAACCATTGAAATGTATCAATATTACCCTAGGTCTCGCCATCACACGTGAATGGCTGGACCGATTTCGATAATTCTTTTTTGTTCTGTTTTTATTACCAGAAGGTTCTTATGAAAGAATAAATTGTGTGGAAAAATAGAAAATTTAAGAATATTTAACCACCACATATAATTATTTCTAATCTAACCTTGGAAATATTAAAATTTAATTGACAATGACAGGACAACATCTATCCGGTCAGCTAGTGCATAATAACTTAGAAAAATTTACCTTTGAAGTACTGATAAAATCCGTCCCAGCGTAATTCTTTTGCTCCATAAAGTTCTGCCAATTTACCGAGCATAGACAACAGAGAGCCGAATATAGATGTTCTGTGACCATTGTCTATGGACGTGTTCATTAAACACATTATGGAAGTAGCTAAATCCTCGTAAGAAGTCTCAGGAAGAGGACTTTGCCAATATAATACTGTGTCGAGCTAAAAATAATAATAATAAATTCATCTCAATAAACTATACTGAAATAAAAAAAATGGGAAATGTATTTTTTGTCCTTAATTCACGATTAATTATGATATTTGTATTTCTACATAGAAATAAACAAAGTTGCTTCCCGCTGTCTGTACGCTGAGATCTTTTAAACTACATAACGGATCTTAACTCGGTTTTCATCTATATAGAGAGTGATTCAATACTAAAAAGGAAAGCTAGTTTTGTATCCTACTTATATACTTACGACGTCAATATGCAGTCCGTTCAGACGAGAGTCGCACGCAGTTTTAGCTACGAACTGGAGCAACGCCGGGCGGAGAACACTAGCGTGCGGTATTAATTTATCTCTACAATTGTATATCACCTTGTAACAAACAACAAACAATATATAGGTGAGCTGTAATATTCTTTACATAAAGTCTAATACATAATATAATAACATACTAGTAGCATAATATCGTTCGCACTAATTATATATACGCATAAAGACTTATGCATATATTTTTTAACATATTTAATATTATCAATCTTACGACCTCCGTAGCCGAGTGGTTCGGATCTGGGTGTTGTAGTACCTTCATTGCCTCAGATACTCCATAATACGGGGGGCTTTAGCTACTCGTGTTGAAATCTGAGCAATGTATGTGTTGTTGTCTAATATTTATTTATTATTATTTTATTTTTATGCCAAAAGTAAATTAGGAATCCTATTTATATTATAAATGTGAAAGATTCTTTGTTTGGATGTTTGAAGGTCAATCACGCCGAAACTAATGAATGGATTTTGATGAAATTTGGTATACAGATAGGGTATTAGCTGACTTAGATAATAGGATACTTTTTATCCCACTAAACATTTCCCTGGGGTCCACGTGGGCGAAGCCGCTGACGAAAGCTAGTATTACGTAATGCTAAAATAGAAGATTCCAGTAAACGATGAAATATTGCAACGGACCTGTGCCAGTATCCATTTGACGTTAGTACCGGTGGCGTCCCCCCCCAGCGCGGCCGCCAGCGCCCCCCTCCACGCGTGGTGTGCGAGCAGCGCGGCATGATTCACCAGCCCGCTCACACACACCACCAGCGGTTCGCTGTTCAGCTCGTTTATACACAACTCTAACTCTTGAGCGTTGTCCTCCTAACACACAAAACGATGACTCGATCAGCTAACTTTGAATCTTATGCCCTTGTCAATAAGATATAACAGATGTTTAGTTACACGTAGCTCAGTTCACGTCTTTCCAATGGGAATATTAGTTCCGAGTGAAAAAGACCAAACACTGTATTACTTATACGAAGCTTATGCGATCTGGTACTAAAGTTAGCACTAGTTTTATAATAATACGGTTAAGGCTGAACGTCACGGTTTTAGAGGCACCAAAATTAATGTGTTCAAGGTAAATTTTAGAGTTAAGCTTAAAATTTAATACTGTAGTTGAAAATTTTATTAAAACCAGACTTAAAACTAAAAAGGAAAGGTTTTAATAACATATAAACATGATATTTTTTTTTTATTAGAAAAAATATTCAGAACTTGTACTTTCAAGCTATAGTATTAAACAGTTGTTTTGTCACGTAGTATTTTATCAAATTTTATGTCCCATAACTCAAAGACTAGAGGCGCTATAAAAATAATAATATAATCATATTTCGATAGTCTCGGTTCTACTACTATTAGTTATATTAACTTCTAAAGGTATACATTTCAATATAACTAACAACTCATCGTAACAAATATAAAAGGTTTGTTAATAGTCCCAAATTAGCGAAATAATAGTTCTTTATTTAAAAAAAGTAGAATAAACTATACAATAGAGAAACGTGGTGTAAAAATGACCTCCAGTAAGTCTCGTAATTAAATTTATTACTAAATTATTAGTAGTTATTTCATTAAAAAAAATACTCAAACTTTCATTTAAGAAACACTTTCTATCGCTTGAAGTTCCGGCGCCACTTTGATAATAAGAACTTTCTTTTAATCAGGGTTCACAAAAATCCGATATTTATAATAAACATCAATATGAATAAACGTCGGATATAAATCATGCATATGAAAAGTTGCAATTTTAAGCCGCTAGAGGCTTTCTTTAATATTTTAAAAATTATACTAAGTAAGATTACTTTGTGCCAATGTTGTCAGCGTTATATCGAGTTAGTTAATTTTTTAGTTGATACTCAACACTCAAACTAAAAATAAATATAATAAATATCAATTGATATTTTGCTGCGAACCCTACTTTGAATGAAACTCTTGCACATTCTTCTTCTTCTTTTTAATTAATGGCGATGCCCTTATGTATTTCGCCAGAGTCCAGTGTTTCGCACAGATTCATTCATATTTAGATATTTTATAAACTCTGCTTTTTGTAATACAGAAGTGAAATCTCAAGTTAAATTTAGAATTTTGTTGAATTTAAATCATAGACGAATGTTATTACTCTTCATATCATTACATAATATGATTATAAAAAGAGAGTTAACATAACTTAAGACGGATTTAAAATTTGTGGGTTTGGGAATAAATGAGGGAATGACATCATACAAGGAAGAAGGAAGAATGTAACGTCCGAGCACATTACTATAGGTAGGGTTTACTCTTCGGAGGGTTTATGGTCAAGTGCTGGCCGTTAATATTTTAAATTATTACTTTTTCGTATTCGAATTCGCGTGTTCGTGTTTTGCTGGTGAATAGTCTTTTTTTCTGATCGAGACCAGCTTAGGGTGAGCATCGTAGTATAATTATTGTAAGTGATTAAATGTAATTCTTATCAGAAATAAATCAAGACTAAGGAGTGCTACCAGTTTTTGCATTGCGCCACCCACCTCCACCATTAGACTAAGTTGCCATAAGTCGCCATAGTATTTAGGGCAATTGAAAAAAATATGATCGACTGCGCACACGAACATTACCTGTTCCTGCGGCGGCAGCAAATCGTACTGCAGCGGGTCCACGGACAGCGTGCGCAGGAACACGCGCGTGCGCAGCGTGCCCGTGCCCGCCCCCGCCCCCGCCCCCGCCCCCCCACTCGGCACGTTGGCAGCGGTCACGTGATATTTGCGGTCCCGATTCTGTCGACCGTACATTTACATCATCCTAGTTTTGATAGTCCGATTTATCGTCGAGATCGATATAGAAAATTAATTAATAAGTGTCCAGGGGCCATGACTAATTTTAAAATCTATCGTAAACCCTTTAAATTTGACATTTAAAAAGATATTCACAAAGTTAATGATTTGTTAGGTTTGTTGAATGAACGATATCGTTAATTTGACGTAAATTACAATTATCTAAAGCTAGAGTTGGACGCACATATCTTTGAAAGCAATTATGAAATATCAAACGAATGTTAACTGCAATCCTTCGACGGATTTTATTAAATTTCTTGATGATACATATCAACCGATATGTATCATCAAGAAATGAAAGCCGCAGAACATGAAAACCGCATAAAAAAGGATCCAGCCAAACGCAAGAAAATCGCGGCCAAAAATACATTCAGGTCAAACTGAGAACCTCCTTTTTTTGAAGTCGGTTAAAACGCATTACAATCCGTTGTGTAATTTAAACGATCTAAGCGTACAGACACCGGCAAGCAAATTTAACTTACCCACTGGCTCTGCAATGGTAACTTATATACGACATCAGGGTCCACTATCTTCTCCCACACAGTGGGATCGAACAGAAACCCATAGAATTTCTCAGCGGGACACGACACGCATACCGCTGCACAGAAACACTTGTAGTTCTCCAACAAACACTGTCTGTACAAACAATATAATTAATCCAAAAAGAGATAGAAAGAGAGGGAGGGTAAACTCTAATCAAGCTTCATTATTGTAATTACCTATTCAGGGTGTGAAACTCTGTCGCAGTACCACCACACCTAATAAGCATAAATCTATACTAATATTATAAAAAGGAAAGTCTTGATTGTTTGTTTGTTTGCATCCATCGAATTAGCTCCAAGACTACTGATTTTAAAATTTAGATAATATTATCTGGCATAGTCGTCAGAAAACATTCTCTAGATGTCATATCTATTTTTAGGCAAGATTATTTAAGACTATTCGATAATAAAAAGAAATCGAGTGCATGTATGTCCACATAGCTGCACTTTTTACTAAGAGAGGTCTGCTTACGGTGGTGGTGTGTGTTACGTTTTTTATTTTAATTAAAGATGTAGTCTTATTACACATATGAGTGTCTCCTTCTCACCTATAGCACCTTCTCAAGTCTGCCGAGGCGTCGTCTGGTATATTCTTCGATCGCAACGTATAGCAGAGAGCGCAAACTTTCTTTATCAAGTACGAAGGCTGTTTACTTGTCACTTGGGAGTACAGTAGCGAGTCTGAAGACTTGAGTGACGTTAGCGGCACCTATGTAAAACAACAAGTATTTTTTAACACATGGGGCTTGGTTGAATGAAGCTAAAAACTGTATATTTACTGTAGAATTAATAAACTTTTAAGGTCCACTAGCAAATTAATCTTAAAAATAGATAGCATCCAAAACTTATAAGCTCTTAGAAATGTATTGGTGTAGGGCGGCGTTTCTCAACCAGTGGTCCGCAAACCCCTCAGAGTCCAGTCCAGAAAATAGTAACATCAACTCAAATATCACTAATTTACATAGATGCAATTACAGATTAAGTACGAATCACTTTAAAAAAAGCAAAAATCCCGTTTATTAATTTTATTTTATTTTATTTCTGTTATTATTGCGACAACAGAAATACATTATTTGATCCAGATTAATGAGATACAACCTGATGACAGACAAGAAGCAGAGCGGAGTCTTAGTAATAGGATGTTTACCCTTTGGGTACGGCACTTCAAAAATCAAAAACCAACACTTCAAAAATTTGTAGACAATTTTAAACCAATACTAGAGGTCCGTAGACCAGAGAAGTGGTTAGGAAATGCTGGTGAAAAGCACAACATATCCCGGACTTATACAACGCAATGAGCCTTTTGTACGTGTCTAAAAATTGTCTTATAAACAGAATCACCAGCGCCCTAACAAGGTAATTTGCTATGATTACTACTTATCCTGGAGCATACTCCTGGGGTCTAATTGCCTAATTTTTAGAACTATCACAGTCCCTTTCATTTTGATATTTGGCATGTGAGAGCGATGCTATCGCAACGTTTGTTTTTATTTTGAAAGATATTGAATGAACGTTTACATACTACCCTCTATTCTTGGTCGAGCCGAGAACTTTTCAAACTACCCTCATAATCATACTTGCAGTGTGGTGGTAATCTCAATCGTATGTTCACTTTGGAAATAATAAATCTTTCAGTTTTATGCAATATTTCATTTACTTATTAATTTTCAGCTAAAGACAAATTCAATATTTTTCAAGAACGTGTAACAAAGAGTAAATTCAAAAAACATGACAAATAAAACTTCTTCTTCTTTTATAAAAATTATTATGTTGTGAACCAAAGAGTAAGTATTTACATATATTCTATAAGTTTCAGGTGCAGCTGCCACATGCAGTATAAATCAACGAGAGTAAATATTCTATTAGTTTCCGCTTAAAGGACCACATTCACGCCCATCAAGCATTATGTTTAAGATTATGCTGGCCATAACAATAAAGCTATTCTGCCTATATTTAGATGAAGGAACCGCTATTGGTCTGTAATATCTCGACTTAGTTGGGATTGAAAATTAAATGATATTTAATAAGATTCAGAAGAATCATATTGTCTATTCATCTTATAGCATAGAAACTTAATAAATTTCTTTTGAACGGCTTCAATTCTATCATCATAAGTGGCATATCTGGTATTCCTGATTCGTAAGGCATATACCAGGTGACTGCTAACACATGCATGGTACAAGATTTTTATAGTTTTACAGCCAGTTGCGCAGACATCAATTAAAATTCTCATTAGTTTAAAGAGACATTAACCGTTCAAATTTGAAATTCATTATAGCTTGAGGGCGTCATTAAACCCTAATGGAAGTTTGTGCAACTGACCGTTAGGCCAATATAAGTATTTTTCAATGCAGTTGCTCATAAAGTGCTATTTTTTTAATCCATTGTAAACACTGAAAGTGAGTCTTCAAACACGTGTTAAATAAAAATGTACTGAAATCCTTTACTGCACACGTGCTTAAAAGTATTTTTTTAATTTTTTTTGGCCGAGCACCAAATTAATTAAAAAAAAAATTATGGAAATATGTCAAACTTTAGAGGCAAAATTTCAAGGAGCCTACAACGAATATTTTCAAATAAAAATGTATGACACGAAAACATGTTCAAATATCACGTTTAATTTTAACAAATAATTTTTACCTTTAATACATACTTAGTTTTATTAACCTATATATTTGTTTTATTTCCTCGCAAAAAGCATTGAACAATAATGTAAGAAACTTGAGCGTAAAAGGTTTTTCGTATTCGTTCCAATGAAAACCCACGCTTCGCTCGTGTTTTCAATTTGGCCCTTATTCGTAAAATCTTAAATAACTATTATTTCTTTCATATTATATTATTGCTAGTCACATAGTATACTGTCACATGACGTTGTACATGTAGATAAAGCGTACCTTCTCGAAGGCGAGGGTGATGACGGCGAATGTTCTGGCGTGCTCCGCCAGAGTGCGCTCGAGTGCGCGCGCGCAGGGGGCGGGGCCGCGCGGCCACGCGCCCAGCGCGGACAACAGCCTGTTTATGGCGCCTGAGTAAAAGCGTTCGCAGAACGCAGCCGTCGAGTATCTACGGATATATTATTTCGGATACGGGTATTCGAGAATACGGATACGGATCTTACATCGGTTTCGGTTACGGTTGCGGATATAATTTTTTTTTCAGGTAGTTTCGGTTACGGATCCTTGATTTTTTTAAATAATTTTTAAACGAAAACTTTTAGAACATTTTTTTTGTACTGTGATGGATGACATTTTTTCTTAAACGAAAGGCTGTTGATGTTGCACATAGAGTTAATACCATTCGAGCAGTGGTCAAAAGTGGCGTCAAAAATTAAAATTTCTTGTACGTACTAGAAGATACACGTGATTTTATTAGTCTTTAACCTCACCCTGTATCACCGAGAGGGAGAGAGGCTAAAGATGCTAAAAAAAGCACGTAAATAATGGACAGCCCCTTTTTATGGCAATATGTTATGGCTGTACGTATTTATAATAAGCCACCCACACGTCACTGACACGACTTTAAAGAAATTTTATAAAAAAAACGTGGAGGGTCATGGCCGATCCTCCTCAACCATCCATAAGGAAGGCCTGAGCCCCTGCAGTGGGGACGTAAAAGGGCTGGTGATGATAATTAACTTCGGACGAAGTTTATTTAGACATTTGTAAAAAACAGTTTATGTACGACCACGCGGGCCCACTCGATCATTGAGGTCGCCACACACACAGACATATTTTGAAATGTATATTCAACAATGATTTACGATACTTCGACCAATCGGAATAACTATATGAGATTCGATTCGTTTGGTTCAACTTGTAAACAAGCAAATCGATTTATCGAAGGGATGGTGTATTTGTAATCAAATATAATTATAACTTACTTGAGAAAAGGTATGAGCAGACGGTGGCATACGGCTAACGACGGGAACTCAAACAGAGTATTAGCGATACTGTAACAAGGACATTCAAAATCAAAATTATTTATTCAGTCTAGGCTGTGAAAGTCGAGAGCTACGCCATCGGTTCGTAAATCTACAGCGGGAGACCTTGTACTGAGAAGAACCGACAAGAAACTCGGCAAGGGCTGCTTTTTTCTCCCTGTTTTATTTCATACAGAGCGTCAAGATTGAAAAATGACTTCATTAAAATATGAAGTCAATATTATCTGTATACACGGCCGCACGTCACGCTATTTCCCCCTCACCATAAACAGACCACTGTTAGTAGGGAAGTTCTATGCGAAACGAGGTCGGTTCAAAGTCCACAATGTATATTAGTCAGGCGTGCGGCCGTACGTACATCATATGAACATTATTATCATATATCTGCTTATAACGGGACCATCTTTTCAATGTGATCGTTTACAAATTCTTTATCGTTGTTGTATCCAAAAAAAAAAAACAAAAAATCTTCAAAACAATATATTACACAAAAAAAAATATTTTCAATGCAGTTGCTCATAAAGCACTATTTTTTTAATCCATTGTAAACACCGAAAGTGAGTCTTTAAACACGTGTTAAATTAAAATGTACTAAAATCCTTTACTGCACACGTGCTTAAAAGTATTTTTTTAATTTTTTTTTGCCCGAGCACCTAAGAAATTAAAAAAAAATGATGAAAATATGTCAAACTTTAGAGGCAAAAGTATTTCAAGGAGCCTAGAACGAATATTTTCAAATAAAAATGTATGACACGAAAACATGTTCAAATATCACGTTTAATTTTAATAAATAATTTTTACCTTTAATACATACTTAGTTTTATCCTATTAATATTATAAAGGCGAAAGTTTGTAAGTATGGATGTATGGATGTTTGTTACTCTTTCACGAAAAAACTACTGGACGGATTTGGATAAAACTTTACAGCAATATAGGTTATACATCAGAATAACACATAGGGTACTTTTTACTGGGAAAACTTCTCACTCCCACGGGATACCGACTTCCACGCGGACGAAGTCGCGGGCGTCCACTAGTTAACCTATATATTTGTTTTATTTCCTCGCAAAAAGCATTGAAAAATTTTGTAAGAAACTTGAGCGTAAAAAGTTTTTCGAATTCTTGTCAATTTGGCCCTTATTCGTAAAACCTTACTTTGCGCGTACGTATTTTAAATAACTATTTCAGAATTATCCGTCTCCAATATATTGTTATATTGTCTAATAATATATTGTTTTAAAGATTTTTGTTTTTTTTATATATTTACACAGTGCAGTGTTTAGTTACACAGTGGGTGCGTAACTCGCCTCATCAGAGCAGCGTCGTCCTCTTCCTTGATCGTGATATGGTCACGACTGTACCTGAGGCAGTCTCCGCGCGCGATACTGGCAACACTAGACGCAAACGCATCATCCCACCAACCTTTCGCGGAATCACCTGTCGAAACCATCTAATTAATACCCTATTTCCTTGTAATAAGTACTGAATTAATTTCACTGACGTTCAAACATCGTTTAGCGTAGAAATATTTCGTATGATTTCAGAAAAGCGATTATTAATTCCACTGATTATTTTTTTAAATATTCTAACTTAATAAAAAATACCTCTTAGTTAACAGTAGACCGATTTTAATAAATCTTTAATTGTTTGTAAGGGGGCGTCCATAAATTACGTGATATGTTTAAGGGGGGGAGGGGGTCGAGGCAAATCTCATCTAATCTTACGTTGGAGAGAGAGGGGGTCTCGGCAAATACCACGCAATTTTTTTTCTGATTGAAACAAAAAAAATATACTATTTATGTCCATTTCATCCATTCATTCCATTTGTACATGCTTAAGATTTAATCTTAAGCGTAAGGGGGCGTCCATAAATTACGTGAGATGTTTAAGGGGGGGAGGGGGTCGAGGCAAATCTCATCTAATCTTACGTTGGAGAGAGGGGGGGTCTCGGCAAATATCACGCAATTTTTTTTTCTGATTGAAACAAAAACACAAAAATACTATTTTGGTCCATTTAATCCAGATTGTACATGCTTAAGATTTAATCTTAAGCGTAATCGTATACGATTAAGATCATTCACTAATTCGTTCAAAGAAAATAATTTCATTCATACTTCGACGCTATACATCTACTGAATGTCAAACCACCATATTTGTAGGGTTCGAACGATACTTCCGATATCGAGTAGGCATCGATACTTTCAAAAGCTTTACTCGATACTACAACAAGGCAAATACTCGCAAGTACTCATCAAATTGCATTTTGAAAAATCTCACGTGAGATTGGGGGATGGGGGAGGGGGTTGAATAAAATCTCACGACATCTCACCAGGGGCGGAGGGAGGGACAGAAAATTTAAAAAACACCTCACGTAATTTATGGACGCCCCCTAAGATGTATATTCCCAAGAGATTACTATAAAATTGATTAAATAGGAACATGCTTTTGTAAAAGAGTATAACTAGTAAGTTTAAACAACAATTACTAAAATAAAATAAAAATAACTTCAAAAATCTAAAATATATGCAGTGATCTAATTAAGAAATTAGACAATCCATATATTTATTTTAATCATAACTAGCTGTTGTCCCGCGACTTTGCACGCGTAAACAATAGCCTATGTCAACCCCGTATGATGTAGCTGCCCGTAGGTGAGAGTTTTTAAAATCAGTTCAGTAGTTTTGGTGCTTGTTCGATGCAAACAAATAATCAAATATTTCCTTTTTATAATATTAGTATGAAAAAGAAAGTGTACCAAAGAGTAAAAGTATATATTAGGGAAAAGAGAGTCATACTGTGTGAGAATGTTCACATAAATATAGGTTTAACGGGATTTTCGTTAGATGGCGTGACTGTGTCTATGACATGTAGGTCATGTAGATATGTTATATTGACATGATATAATAGATGACTAAATTATTCATTGACTTCGATATTAAAAAAAAAAATGTAAAATACGTAGATAGTAAAGTGAAATGTTTATTTCAATATCACTAGCATTGATGCCGATTCAAGAATCTTATTTCATTATTTCTGTACTTCTATCAAAATGTCTATGTAGTGTACTTTTTAACGCATTTCTATTATAATTAACATTTATCACTTTCGCATGCTTCTAATATCGAAATATTATTCCTCTAAAAATTACATAAAATAAAATAGACTATGAAATTCGATATTTTCATTGAAGTCAACAACTTCAAATCCTTTTAGTTGCCTGGCTACATCACTGACACTTCAGTTTACGGAGGTTTACCGTTAGACGGTGCTAGTAAAATTGCCAGCTGCGACTTAAGTGAGGGAGTGGAGTGGCTCTCACTAGTAAGACAGTGGTGTGCTCACAGTGCGCCCAGTCGGCGAGCAGCTGCAGCAGCTGCAGCAGCGCAGCGCTGCGCGCGCGGGCGAGCGCGTCCAGCAGCGCGCGCATGGCGGCCCCGCGAGTGCCGCGCAGCTCCGCCAGGCGCGCCGGCAGGCGACTGGCTAGCGATCTGTACGCCGCCCTGGCGGGGGACCAGTACGGTGCGTCAATGAAATGAAATGAAAATGTCTTTATTGAAGTAATCTTCTCACAAGCACTTTTTTTTCGGTATTTGGGAAACAAACAATATTATTACACAATCAAACAAAATAATATAAACAATGTCACAAATCAAATAAGTTTCCACCATTAATTAATTCACGAGAGCATGAAACGTTTTAATTGCTAAAAATAATTAAACAATAAAAAAAATGAAACAAACATGGGAAAAACTTTTTCCTATAAACATAAATGCTGTTATTAAAAATATCGAATCGAATTAAATTTGTTATTATAAATACTACAAGTTCTATATAAAAATGTGTTAGCAGTGTAATTCGTTTTAACAAGAGAAACACTGAATAAAGCCCTACTTCTAGAGCTCATCTGGGGACATTTAATGTAAATATTACTGATAAGTGAGGACGAATCAATCAGATTGTTTAAGATCTTATACAGAAAAATCTGATCCCTCTCGCAGCGACGTTTGCATAGGGACTTTTTGATAAGTTCATCACTATTATCATTGCAATGCAAACATCTAAATGACATATGCTTTACAAATTTCAAATATATTCTTTCGATGCTGTTTATGTATAAATTATAATAAGGATTCCAGATAACTGAGGCATACTCCAAAATCGATCTAACGAAGCAGTTAAACAAAAGAGTTAAAGTAGAACAACGTTTGAAGTCTCTGCCGATCCTGATAATAAATCCCAACTTCCGAAATGCCCTTGAGATTATAGTATTAATATAGTTGTTAAACGACAATTTGGTATCAAGGATAACACCTAAATCCCTCACCTCGGTAACGCGATTTAAGGTCCGATTAAGTAAATTATAATCATATAAAACATTTGTCTTTTTCTTTCTCGTAAAACTTATAACAGAGCACTTTTCTATATTTAAATGCAAACAATTATTTTCGCAATAAGTAACTAAATTATTTAAATCATCTTGAAGCAACAAACAGTCAGAATCATTTTCAATAATTTTATAAATTTTCACGTCATAAAAATTAATGTCATTAATATATAAATTAAATAATAAAGGTCCAAGATGAGAGCCCTGAGGGACACCAAATGTCACTGGAATAAAAGAACTTTTGAATCGTTCAAAATATTTTTTTCCCCTACCACTTGTTCAGAACGTCTTTTAGCTGACAAGAAGAACAAGCGAAAGAAACTTACCAGCTCTTTATCATAAGTAATGACATTTACAAAGTCATGTCATTACCAAAATAGTACGTATTATAACAAGATTAAATACAACTTTCAAGGTCATATAGTTTGTACATATAATTAGTCGTTATAGAACAAAGCGAAGGCTATTAATTCCATGCATTGCGGTCTTTAAAATAACCATTACGAAAGTATGAAACAAAACACGGAGAAAAAAGCGACCTATGCCGAATTTCTTTTGCCCGTTCTTCACAGTGGAAGGTGTCCCGCCGTATATATGCGAACTGATGGCACAGCTACATTAACAAATGTGTGGAATAGTCTAGACTGGATAAATAATTTTGAATTTGAATCTTTTCCATTAGTCCACACTAGGCTCGCATGATGGGGCCCATTCTCCCGGTTGGATTCCATTTCATCTATAGATCCTACTCGGTAGTAGCAAATGAAACTGATGTAGGTCAGAAGTTGTATACGACGGTGGAAAGCAAACACGTAGTAACCCGCAAAACCAAAAGTGTTCTTCAGAGCACAAAAGCTTCTATTTCTTTTCGATAAATATTTCCTATAAACGTCCATGGTAACAAATAAGGTGTTCCTTAATCAATTTATACTGAAAAAATACTTTTTATTTGAAATAATATAAAATTTTGCTGGTTACTACGTGTTTGGTTTCCAGCGTCGATATGTAAAGTCACGGCAAATCTTTGTAAGCGCGATGCAGATATCACGACGCCATCTCTTGAGTGCACGACGTCAGTAAAACAAAAATGCCGTCGATTATTATGGCGTTAGTAAGCGCGGTAATATAAATGTTGCCACACATCCATAGGGAATGCAATAGCTGTGGGTACATTAACCCCCGGTTTCAATAATATACCGACAACCATCGGTAGCAGCTACCGACCGTTTTTTGAGCTACCGACAACCATTAGTTTTTGCGTTTCACAATCATCGGTAGGCGCCTACCAACTACGAACGGTTGTCGGTAGCTAATTTTTTAAAATTGTAATCATATAATTAGAGGAAAAGGGTTCTTTCCATTTCATGTCGGTAGCTAATTTTTTTAAATTGTAATCATATAATTAGAGGAAAAGGGTTCTTTCCATACAGCCTTGTCTTAGGTAATATTATGATTATACTGAAATGTTGGTCTTTAACATTTAATAATTTCTTGGACAAAATTGAAATCGTAAGAAGGAAGACAGAGACGTCAATAGGAAAGAGGTGAACTGATTACGTACCGAAACTAAATTTGAAATTTGTTTTGGAATTATTATGACTTATTTATTATATGGTTAGGTTCTTAAAAGTGGTGTTATTGTGAAACAAATTATCGTCTGAAATGGAATTCTGATGTAAACAAAAGAGTTACCATTACAACAAATAGCTTAAATTTATCTCTTTAAAAGTTTTTAGTAATTTTTTTACTTGAACTAAAAATCCTTTTTTTTTACATAAAAATAGGATAGAAATATTTTATGCTGCAGGCAAGAAACAGCGATTCGGAACATTTGGCTCATTGAATTAAAACTTTTTTTTATTTAGTATGATTTATCGTAAAAATATTTATAAATAACACGTTTTCCCTTGTTAATTAAAAGAAAAGTAACAGTTTTTCATTAAAAAAATAATATTGTAGAAGAGCTTAATGTGTTTTGTAGTTCAGATTAGAAGAATTTAAGTTGTAATCATGTCAATGTTTGTACCTTAAAGGGCTCTTACTACCAATTAATTATTGGTCCAGATGCTTTCTACAATAACATAATGATTTACCTTTTGAAAAACATAATGATATACCTCTTTATAATTATGAAAAACCTGGTTCTGATGCAACTGAATTTGCCATCTACTGTACACGTATTTTATTCGATATTGATTTACAATTTAAAGTACTTAAAATTGAAAAAGTAATGAAACTCTTATGGGCTAATGTCAACAAATCTTACATTTTCATCGCCACATTGTTATACAAAATTAGTTACACTTGAATGAAAAACCTTCTCTTTCATTGAAGTCGATAAAAAATAAGACTATACATCTTATTTCCATATTATTATTTGCAAAAATAAAATTATAATTAGAACCTTTTGTAAAATGTTTGCAACCCCTAAAATAACATCATTTGTTTATATAAGTTTTTTTTTATCTCGAATTAAATTTCAGAATATAAAGAAACGTGTGCAATACACAGTTCATTGAAATGGTACGGTGCATGGTTATGAGCAGTGTTTTGTCAATTTAGTAGGTACAAGAACGCGAACGTGTTACTTTAACATACCTCACCATTTTCTAATATATTACAATTTTGCTCCAAAAAAAGCATTTAAAACGTCCAAGTGAACCTCAATGTGAATATTGTCACTCTAGACTAGGTTGTATGTGCTATATCCCTTTGCCTTTAATTATGCCAAAAAGTAAAGTTGATTTATGTTCCGTAGAAGCTTAGCGGGAATTTTATATAGAGTTCACCTTTATTATAAATTGTTAATTGTATAAAGTGATTTGTACTATACTTATTGAATTTGCAAGATAACATTAATGAATTTGACAGTGAACAATTGTGATCTATTGACATAGGATGATAAATGAATGGTTATTAGAAAAAGTGGAATGATTGTGTCAAATCGTAAAACAAACGTAGAAAAATGCAATGGAATAATGTAATAATTATGTAGTTTTTTATGAATTGTTTTTTATTTGTAAAATAAATAAGTTATATCCAAATTGGGTTTTATTGAGAATTAAATCAATATCAGTGTTTAATAAAAAATAAAGGGTATAAACTAATGTAACGTGTATAAGTTTGGTACAAGTAGGTGGCTAATTCAGTTTCATCAGAACAAGGTTTTTCATAATTATATAGAGGTAAATCATCAAGTTTTTCAACAGAAACATATTGTAGAAAGCATCTGGAGCAATGATTAATTGGTAGTATGAGCCCTTAAAGGAACAAACATTGGCATGATTACAACTTAAATTCTTCTAATTGGAACTACAAAACACATCAAACTCTTCTACAAAATAATTTTTTTAATGAAAAACTGTTATTTTTCTATTAGTTAACAAGGAAAAACATGTCATTTATAAATATTTTTACGATAACCGACGGAAAATGGCCGGTAGGCAAATTTGACAGATAAGCTACGGATAGTAAGTTTGACAGCTATACCGAAAGATATTGAAACACCCGTTTGCGCCATTTTCATACATTTTGCCTACGAACGGTTATCAGTATCAGATCAATCCGTTAGTAGCACACCGTCGGTAGCTTTACCTACCAATGGTATGTTATTGAAACACTTTTTTGCTACTATCGGTAGGAAATGCTACGGATGGTAGCAAAAACGGATAGTTTTTTGTTTATTGAAACCGGGGGTAAGTCGCTGATGACGTATTGAGTACTCACATACATTCCCCCCCTCCCGGCAACACCCCGACCAATTTTATCTTATCCTCGATCTTATCCCTGGCGGTACACTCGCTTATAGCCCACTGTATGGGAGTGGACGTAGCTCTCAATTGTACCGGTAATCTTGTGACTAATGAAAGTAAGTAGTATTTATCTTCGAATGTAGATATCGAATCAAATATATGCCAAGTCTGTAAAAAATACAGGATATTATATAATCTTTGTTTTACGGTTTTGTGGCGTCAACAGAACATATTCACAAAGAAAAGTTATGTCAATAGGAAACCGGTTATTATCAAACATACCTGTAAAATAAAATGATTTTAAGAATCAAGGTGTTTATAGAAATCTTAGCTGATTTTCTGTCACCCATACTCACGAGTATATCATACATAACAACAGGTAAAATAATATATTAAAAAAATATATATAATCCTACCTCTTCTATCAACTCCAGAACACAGTTATAATGGTTCTCATCACATTTCCTTTTCAGCGTTTCTTTCAATATATACTTTAAAATAACAGCGATAGAATTCATTTCTTCGTCGAGCAAAATGAAAGGTTTCACCAAAAAATATTCCATAAAAATTTCCATAAAATATCTAAAAAACGCAACATTGGCCTTTCCATATGCGATGAGAACGAATTTCTTGATATTTTCAATCGTTTGAAACTTCAAACTTATATACAAGAGATCTGTCAAATATTCTTTGTAAGAATCAAGAACTTTTTCTTCTTTGTCAACATATAAATCCAATATATTACGGCATATGTTTAATATGTTCTCATCATATAATGTCCCATTAGATATCTTTACATATATTTTTAATGCGCTCACTGTACACATAACTTCATTATCTACATCATCTTCAGTGAAATCTTTCATTTCAACGGATATATTAATTTGATACTTGATACACCATTTTTCAAAGAACTCTTGCAATATACCATGTTTAATGTGTTTCTTGTGAATTATAAGACAATTATTTAATTGTTTCCGTAAATCTATTATATGTTGGGGTTGTATGTTGCTTATTATATTCCCAAAGGCGTTTGTGGTCATCTGAGAACAAAATTAATATTGAATATAGATTTTCGCAAGCAACACGATTTCGATAAGGTATTCGTATTTTGAGTTTTTGAGTAGCTCGATGGCGTAGTAGATAAGCGCCGCGGCCCGCGACCTAGTCGTTAAGCAACTTTCGAGTCGATCACGGATGGGTGACCAAACAATTATTATCTCGAGTTACTCCGTGCTTCGGAAGGCACGTTAAGCCGTTGGTCCCGGCTGTATTTGCAGTCATTAATACCCTCCAATCCGCATTGGGCCAGCGTGGAGGGTCATGGCCCATCCTCCTTAACCATTCCTAAGGTAGGACTGAGCCCCTGCAGTGGGGACGTAAAAGGGCTGGATATCGTATTTTGTAGGTTTTAATTTCAATGGAATGAAAAATAATGCCTTCTTTAAGTGTATTACCGGTAAGTAAACATTTACTTTATGTAATTGGATTTGTATTGGATTTACTTGAATGAGGAAGTGTATAAAAAAAACATTAGTTCCCGAAATCAAACGAAATTTCGCTACGGCACGTACTTGATTTCTCCATCACAACCTTTCCCGTTTCCTTTCACATTTAAAAGTAAATTAGTTTTCAAAACTCAATAAACAACTCATATTCTATTTGAACATTTTCGTACTTGTATTGATATATAAGTTTCGAACTTTGAAATTTCAGTTTTTGATATGTTAGTTAAAAAGAACGGAAATGACTGTCTTTGGTCCATTCGTTTCCTGCAAAAATCAACTTTTGCTAGAGTCGCCATCTAGTGGAGGTGCTTTTTTAGTTTCGTTTTTTTTTTGTAAATACTTCCTGATTGGTAATAAAATTTCGTGGCATAAGTGAAGATAGTTTCGAAATGACATAGGAATAGAATATCAGAGACACGTATATTCGATCAATTTTGTTTTGTATTTTAATACAAAAAATGGAATCTATACAATTTCTACACTAAATGGCGTGAATTCGAATTCGGGTCTGGATTTTAGAATCGCAGCGCTGAAATGATTTATCTTTAGCACCATTATAGTCTCGTAGCTAATCTAACGACGGAAAACTAACAATAAGACTAAGAAACTATATTGCAGGGTCCAATCGTTTCGGGGCAAATTAGCTACGACGGACGTCCAAACACGACTAACACTTAAAAGCAAAATATAACCTGGACAATAATAAGTCTAACACACTTACCTCATGATTTGTCTCGTGAAGTACATCACAGTATTCCGCCAGATACCTCAAAGCCGCTTCGACGGCAAAATCTCCGTGTACCGTTCTATCGTCCATAGACAAAACAACAATCCTCGCTAATATCTCATTGAGCACATCAACGTTCCACTCAATTTTATATTCAGCCATTAAATATAACACTTTAGCGAAGTTCACATCCAATTCATTCACACAAACATCGGTTAAATCATAATTGTAGCTCTTTAAATCTATCAACATACAACAGGTTTCTTCAACTTTACATTTTAACAATTTAACATCAATCGCGTTGCTAAAATTGACAGTTTTAACAACATTCTCTGCTAATGTCTTCAGTGTATCCTTTACAGTCTTCTCGTCGTATATATCTATGTTGTCTATAAATATCTTGGATGCGTTTTGGAATGTAATCTTCGCATCGAAGTCTGCCGTTTCCAATATGTGCGTGAGGAGATTTGGTAATATGTTTCTTTGTAAACTATGATTATCCTTTAACGCGGCCAATAATGATTCAGTTACGTTGAGACCACCACTTCTAGTGGTCGCTAAAACAATATAAAGCCTTCAGTATTTCTAAAAACAAGCTCTGATTAAACAAGTAAGCTAATACTACTTTACTACAAAAGGATAAATTATTGCAAAAAAAAAAATGATGAAAGGACCCCGCCCTTGCCTTATGGAAATTGGCTTTCTGTCAAATCGGATGAAACTATGATGAATGGATAGAGGAAGTCTTCCTGAGTAAAAGTCCTCATGGGCACTAAGCCCGAAAATCGAAACTTTTAGTACTTTTGGGCATTCGAAGTTTTTGATTTTGGATTCTAGCAAAATCAATAAATCCTTGTAGAATCGGCCCAAAGTTCAATTAGACATAAAAGAAAAAATACGTATCGAATATTTTTTCAAGACCTTTCGAACGACACCCTATTTGACCCCCCCCCCACTCCCCCACCTACGGGGGTGGAAGGGGAGCGGTTTTTTGCCAAAAAGTTCTTTTATAATGTTATAATGGCCTCATGATTGACGGAACACTTGAGCCGTGCCCGATCGACCCCCCCCCTCACCCACCCACCACACGCGGGGGCGGAGGAAAGAGCTGTTTTTCGCGAAAAAGTTCTTTAAAAGCGTGTTCATGGCCTTTTGAATGACAAACACTCGAGCCATGCTTATTTTTCGCAAAAAACCGCTCCCCTTCCACCCCCGTAGGTGGGGGAGTGGGGGGGGGGTCAAATAGGGTGTCGTTCGAAAGGTCTTGAAAAAATATTTGATACGTATTTTTTCTTTTATGTCTAATTGAACTTTGGGCTGATTCTACAAGGATTTATTGATTTTGCTAGAATCCAAAATCAAAAACTACGAATGCCCAAAAGTACTAAAAGTTTCGATTTTCGGGCTTAGTGCCCATGAGGACTTTTACTCAGGAAGACTTCCTCTATCCATTCATCATAGTTTCATCCGATTTGACAGAAAGCCAATTTCCATAAGGCAAGGGCGGGGTCCTTTGACCTAACTTGATTACGAATGTGCTAATAATAATAAAAAAGAGTCGAACATTTACAATAAACTTCGTGGTATGACGCTACGCCCACAGACCCGGGAATTCCCGGTTAAAAACCGGTCTCAATAGTTATTTTGACCGCCATATTGGATTTATACTATTATTTAATATTCTCTATTTAACTTAGCGCTAATATATCGATTCACGGTGAAAGAGTACTTAAAATCAATCCAAAACCATCTAAATTTGTGTGTACATTATATAACTCACCATTCCCGCTGGCCATCATACCGATCGCTTCATCGGCCACGGTCTGTATCAATTGTTCCGTTAATTCGGACCCGGGGTCCAACAGTAGGGAACCCTCCAGCGCGTCAGACAGCATCTTTCGCGCGCCTGGAGACTTCTCCGAACCTATCGCCTACAAACAAGTTCTATCACTGTTATTTATTAATAAAAAAATATATTAAGAACATTTATGACGCCTTTTCCACTTTAATTTTGCTATCTCTCTCTTTCTCTCTGACCTCTATTTTATTTGTACCACATTTTTGGTCCATTCATTTCCTGCGAAAATCTACTTTTACTAGAGTCGCTATCTTGTGAGGTGCTTTTTAATGCTTTATTTTTTCTTAAAGTACTTCTTCGTTGGCTCAATAGGAAAAAATCGCAAAGATTACTTTAAATAGGAATTTTGCATCACTTTTAAGACTAGTATACTTCATCTTAACTATATAAAAAATTAATATTATTCATTCGATAAATTTTTTTAATAACTTTATTTTTTTTTCTGTGAACAAAAATGTATGATATCCAACGAGCGTATGATGCGTATTTGTCCCACGTAAGCGGAAGTATAATCCCAGCAAATTGCTAATGCGCCTGGCCGCCATTTCGATGGCGTAATTGCGTTCAAAAATAAGTACCGTCAACAAATAAACACTGGTTGACGTGTACACTTATTCAGTTGGGTTGTGTTGAGATCGCAATCATCAGTTTTGTTATGTTTTTGTTGTTACTTGTTATGGCTGATTAATATAGCAACTGTGATTATGATTTTCACAATAAGTCAACATAATTTCACAAATAAAAAACATATGTCATATCTCTCACTTGATTATTACTTTTGGTTGTTTAAAAAAAAGAGTCCTTTCCGTTATTTATTGCGTTATTAAAATTTTTTTTTTTCATATTCTTTTTTATATTTTCCATATACATCAATATTTACATATAAATTTATAATGTTCTCAAAATTTCATGTAATAAATTAACAAACTAAAAGCTAATAAATTATTTTAACAATATTTTGGGGATTGTTAATAAATAATTAAATAATTAATTAATAATTAATCTCTTGCCTTTTGTGCTATCTATACTTTCAGTTTTCTTTCGTCGAGAGCTATGCTATCGGTTCATAAATCTACGGCGGGAGACCTTGCACCGAGAAGAACCGGCAAGAAACTCGGCAAGGGCTGCTCCCTGTTATATTTCAAACAGAGCGTCAAGATTGAAAAATTACTTCATTTTTAGACACTTTCCATTACAATATACTTTATATTTGGTGTTATATAGACAAGGTGACAGCGCATTAGCAATTTACGGTACTTAAACAGTAAAATTTCATCGTCTAGACAACAGGCAGATACATAGATTGTGTGACACCGACCGCTAGAAGAGCGCAGGTGCAGTGCGCGTTGCGTGCGAGCAGGACGGCGCTATGCAGCAGGCGCGCGGGCGCGGCGGCCGCGCGCGTGTGTGCGTGCGCGTGCGACACGCACAGCGCGCGCGTCACGCACACTAGCGACAACTGGACCTCCGCGTCTTCCATCATCTGTGGTGCTACAAACATTTAGAGTAGGGATAAAACGATACCACCTCGGTATCGATACCGTATCGGTCACGAGGTATTCATACCTACTCGGTATCGAATGAACAGAATCTATTCCTACTTGTATCGAATAGTTTTAAAATGCCTGATCATAGTCGTCATTTTTATAGATTTTAAAAGTATCTCTGATACTATTGATAAGTCAATAGCAATACTCTGTTTACGGAAGAGAGAGAAGCCGGTTCAGGCAGAATAAAAAGTAATACATGTAGATTTTAAAAATTTTGTTGGCTGTGTCCTCTGTAGATAGATCTCTATCTACTAAGTAGTTGTATTTAAACATATAGTTCTATCCCCAAATAAAGAGTAGAAAACATACTATAGCATCCCGACCTTTTATGGTCTAGCGGCCTGTTTACAAGGAAAATATCCAACGCAATACTGATAGTAGTTCTTTTTTCTTTATACAAACATATAAATAACATAAACAACTATTAAAGACAGTGTTCAGTGTTATGTGAAAGAGTCCGAAACGTCAATAAAACTAAATACAAACGCTATGAAACCGTTTCAAAGTTATTTCATTTATGGATTGTTAACGTAAAAATATAATAAATCATTCTAATATAAATAACGGTTTAAGATAATATCTAGAAAATCATGGAGACTTAAGTTGTTGATTGAGTTCGTTAACTATAACAGTAAATTATAAAATATGTAAGAAATGATGACTTTATAAACGACAACTGTGTAATATTTTTAGTTCTAAAATAAGTGTAAATGTATTCTATTTTTGTTATATATAAATTAACCTACGATATATAATCTGTGGATTACAAGAATCCAAACCCGGGATGCCATGACGGTGCATTGTGTGACGTCACATTTCAATAAAACATAACTTTGACGTTTTCGTTGCGAGTTTGAATTGCGAGAGAAATTTATTGAAATATGACATCTGGACTCGAAAATTCACGTGACTCATTAGTTTCGCGTTGTAAATTAAACTTATTAATAGAGAAATAAATCTGATTGTTGTTTAATATGATCATATGAAAGTTTAAAAATATTTTTCCTAAAACAATAAAGTACCCAACTGCACATTTTGTGAGATTAATAGGAATATAGCACTACAAATAGTCTAATTTGATAAAAGTAGTATTTTTCAACGTGTGGACATTCTGCAGTGAAACAATTTACTCACAACTGGAGCAGATGATAGCCAACAGCTTGTGCAGGGCGTCTGGTTCCTCGTGGACTATTGCCAACTGCAATATACTTTGGAGGTTTACCTAAATCAAGAAAGTCCATATTATATTGGTGAGTGTGAGTGATTTTAGTATAGATGTATCTATAATTTATTTGTTATTTAGATATGTATTTTTTGAAATTAAAAACTTCTAAAATAAGTCACTAGATGACACCACGTTAGAAACCGTTCTGTCATGAAACGATAACGTCACATTATACAAAATTAAATTTGCAGTTCCAAGATTTTTTTTTTGCGAGGTATAGATGTGAAAATAAGCATGTAATGCTAAAAAATATACAAAAAAAATATCAATGAGAAAGTATTAAAAAAAAAAACGAAAGCAAAAAAGCACTTCCACTAGATGGCGACTCTAGAAAAAGTTGATATTTGCAGGAAACGCATCGATCAAAGATAGTCATTTCCGTTCCTTTTAACTAGCATATTAAAAAACTGAATAGTTCGTAACGTAACTTAGATATCAATACAAATACGAAAAACTACAAATAGAATATGAGTTGTTTATTGAGTTATGAAAACTAATTTACTTTTAAACTTAAAAGAAAACCGGAAGGGAATAGAGAAATCAAGAGCGTACCGTAGCGACATCTAGTTTGATTTCGGGAACTAATGTTTTTTATAACTACATACTTCCTCATTCTCAAACTACAATTTAATTTGACATCTTATTCGATTTCGAGAACTACTCTTTTTTCTTAAATACTTCCTTTTTGCAAGGGCATAATATAATATCTAAAAGCATTACATATTTAGTAATAAACTTAATAAACTCACTTTAAGCACTGTCCCTTCTTCAGTGTTCGGTATATTCAAAAGTAATTTATCCTTCAACTTGGCTATGACATTGTTTTCTTCAGATTTCTCAACTACATAACTAGTGTTGCCATATTTACCTAACAATAAAAACAAATTATACTAAATATACAATAAAAAAAATGTACAAACTCCTTGATATAAATAGACAAATAATAATAACTTTATTGCCATATAAGTATACATCATCAAGGCAATGTGAAGTCTCTGTGTGCTAGGTATAACCTGAGTGATAGAAGTCAGCGCCCTCTTCCATATAACTGGTAACTAATAATTAATATTAACTTTAAGATACAATTATGTTACTTAATCTAATCCAGTACAATAATATACATGTAGAGGAAATCATGTGTGGTGAGTAACACGAAGTATAAAAAAAAAGAAAAAAATATTTAACAACATCACATACATTGCTCAGATTTCAAGATGAGTAGCTAAAGCCCCCGTATTATGGAGTATCTGAGACAACGAAGGTACCACAACACCCAGACCCGAGATAATATAGAAAAGTTCATTTTCTACATTGACCCGACCGGGAATCGAACCCGGGACCTCAGAGATGGCGACACCTTGAGGCCGGCGTGCGAACCACTCGGCTACGGAGGTCGCCAAACCTCCGTATTCGTACTAGTGATAGTATGTGAAACAATAGACGTTAATGCATGGAGGGAAGGGTTAAAATACTTTGACTGTTGAATATGGATTCAGTTTTATCATAGCTCATGGCGAGTAGCATGTCTTTATTTTTGTTTTGGCTTCGTTAAGAGATAGTGGGTAAACATTAACTGCTAGTGTAAATAACTTATCTACAGATTAAATGACGGTAAAGGACCATTACTTTATCTCGTAGCAGAACGGTTTGCATGCCGGTATTAAAGTGTAGCCATCGCTGAGGTTCCGGGTTCGTTACCCAGTCGGGTCAATGTAGAAAATGGACTTATGTATGTTGTCTCAGGTCTTGATGTCGTGGTACCTTCATTGTATCTGATACTCAACATAATGCATGGGTTTTAGCTACCATTTATTATACTAATAATATTTAAGTTGTTTATTTATATATTACGAGTGTAGTAAGGATTGTTAGGTGTTACTACTTTAGATGCAGCTTTCAGAGCGAAAGCTCGAAATAAATAAAAAAATTGCTAAAGTAATTAGAATTTACAATTCTTAATTGAGATTTTTTTAAACTTTTGACTTACCAAGAAATACGATGACGTCCTTGTGTAAAATTCTAGCATACTTATCACTTTTGTTCTTGAGCGTACGCAGTTTATCTATTTGATGGATTATCTAAAAAATACAAAAAATATAATTTAAATTGGTCGTTTTACAATTATACACACATTAATCCAAATACTCGATTTGTATATATTATTATCAGTGGTCGGAATTAGGTAGAGTTAATCATGTACTTACACTGATTTCACACAGCGAAAGAATAAAGTGGATATGCCTCAAATCCCGAGATTAATTTTAAAGAGCAGAAAAAAATCCCGTGATTTTTTAAATAAAAAGTTATTTACTTTTACACAATTTAAACTACTGCACGCACTACGTTGCCAAACTTACATCAATGAAAGAAAGAAATAAAGAAATCCCGGGAAGGTCCACATTAATATCAAGTACATAAATAACTCTACCTAATTCCGACTTCTGATTATTATACTAAGGTACTTGATTGCTCCGAGAAAATAATTTTTATGCATTTGTTGTAAGTTTACTCTATGGCAACAGTACTTGACTTTGTCTATTGCTTTCATGTTGCCTTATAAAATGGAGTATCGCAGTAAGTTTATCTTTCATAATTTATTTATTTATTTATAACATTATAAAGGTGAAAGTTTGTAAATTTGGATGTTTGTTAATTCTTCACGCAAAAACTACTGAGTAGGTTTAGGTAGAATTTGGTAGAATAATTCTAAATCTGGATTAACATATAAGTTACTTGTTTTCCCATTAAACACGCGAGCGAAACCGCTGGCGGAAAGCTAGTTATTTATAATTCAAATACTATCACTGGTGCTTCAATAAATACATAATAGTAATCAACCATGGATATTATACTTACATAGTTCAATTTGTCGCTGTATAATTCTTCAGGTTCGGTCATGATTGTCTCCAACCTGCGGAGAGCTTGTATCAAGATCTTGGGATCGACATCGCCCCTCGTGAATAGTATCTGCAAAATAACAACATTTATCCGCTAAGTACGTAGTACTAGGGGAATGATATCTTTCTACTGAATTAATGTGAGAACTGTTTATAAATCATGAATTATGATACAAAAAAAACTAAAATAAATGTTTTTTTTATTATTTTAAGTTAAATCTAAATCATAATTTGCATAAGAATCGATAAAACTATAAATAAACTATGCTGAAAAATATTTGTAAATTTATACATAATAATAATAATAATATTTTTTATCTAACCAATATCTGATTAATTACTTTTGTTATTATTTGTATAAATATTTTCAAAATACAATAACTAAAAATAATGTTTATTTCTGCTTTTATTATGAGTTTAATTATAACGACTGATGCATACACCTCATTATGGATGGCCACAAGCGTTTTTGAAGGCAGTACCTTCCAAATTTGATTTATGAATAAATCATTAATATAGTAATACATATGACTACCGCTATAGCTTCCAGTACATTCAGTACGTCGACTCCCGCCTCCTCTTGTATCAGCATGAAGCAGCACTCACACAAGGTGGCCTCATCTGAACATTTGTCTACACGCAGTTTCTATGTAACATACAAATATAATATACATTTAGTCTACGGTTATTGCAGTTAAGCAACTTTTCAGAAATATCATACATGAGATGGGTGATCAAAGAGAAAAGTTACTCAAAATCTTACAACCCACATACCATTGGTTAACACCCACCTATCCGCACTGGGCTCTCGTTACGGGTTATATATAGTCCGTTCACCATAAATGTGATTCTATCCACAAAAGGCCAGTGCCCCAGTTATTTTTCGTATGGCACATGCAGTTGAGCTGAGTTTACCAGCTAATATAGAAATATGCGGGTTCCATTGCAGTTTTGAATCTAGTGTTATGCCCAAAAATTTTGTTGAACTTACTAACTCTAAATGTTCGTTGTTGAGTTTAATTTCAGTTGGTTCTACTTTTACATTAGGTAAAGTGAATTTTATACATTTAGTTTTTTTAGCGTTCAATTGAAGATTATTAACTGTGAACCAAGATAACACTCGTGAGAGAGCATTGTTTACATCGTCAAAATTATATTTGTTTCTGTCAATGTTAAATATCAATGAAGTGTCAGTCTGCAAACAACACGATCTCACACAGGTTTTGAAAAAAATTTACAAAAACAAAAAATGGTAAATCATTTATATATATTAAAAATAGAAATGGGCCCAAGATAGAACCTTGGGGAACGCCTATTTTTACATGAGACCCCGACGACTTCGCACAGTACATTATTGTCAATCATCATCAGCCGCTTTACGTCCCCACTGCAGGGGCGCAGGCCTTCCTTATGGATGGTTAAGGAGGAAGCCATAACACTCCAAGCTGGCCCGATGCGGATTGGTGGGTATTAACGTCCTGCTAATGCAGCCACGACCAACGGCTTAACGTGCCTTCCGAAGCACGGAGTAGCTCGAGATAATAATTTTTCGGTCACCCATCCCGTGGCCGACCCTTACGAAAGTTGCTTAACAACAACGATCGCAGGTACGCCACCGAGTTACTTAATGTCAATAAAACCGTTTAAATTAAAAAAATAATAAGGCAATTTTTTCGTTTTAGAACAAATAGAATAGGCCTACAGGTGTCATAAAATAAAGGTATAAATAGGTATAAAATATAATAAAATATAGGAAAATCAGCGTCGGGTCCGATAAGGACCTGCCAAATTGCTGAATCGGCTACCTTTTTTGTTGCGGCCGCGAGACACAAAATATCAATCCAGCCCTTTGCATCATTTCTTTTTAAATTAATTGTATCATTTAAAAACCTTTTGTCAATTCTATATATGTTTGTAGTTTGTCTCATGTCTGTTAACTAAATAAATCTATCTCTCCCTCCCTCTCTCTGTCCCCCTCTCCCTCTCTCTGTCCCCCTCTCCCTCTCTCTGTCCCCCTCTCCCTCTCTCTGTCCCCCTCTCCCTCTCCCCCCCCTCTCTCTCTCATGTTATTTCGCCACCATCAGCCCTTTTACGTCCCCACTGCAGGGGCTCAGGCCTTCCTTATGGATGGTTAAGGAGGATGGGCCATGACCCTCCACGCTGGCCCAATTGGAGGGTATTGACGACTGCAAATGCAGCCGGGACCAACGGCTTAACGTGCCTTCCGGAGCACGGAGTAGCTCGAGATATTAATTTTTTGGTCACCCATCCCGTGACCGACCCTTGCGAAAGTTGCTTAACAACAACGATCGCAGGTACGCCACCGAGTTACTTAATGTCAATAAAACCGTTTAAATTAAAAAAATAATAAGGCAATTTTTTCGTTTTAGAACAAGTAGAATACCTACAGGTGTCATAAAATATAGGTAGGTATATAATGTATTTACATCTGAATCGGCTACCTTTTTGTTGCGGCCGTGAGACACAAAATATCAATCTAGCCCTATGTATCATTTCTTTTTAAATTAATTGTATCATTTAAAAACCTTTTGTCAATTCTCATATGTACTTTCAATTACAAATAAATCTATCTATCTATCTCTCTCTCTCCGTCTCTCTCTAACCACCGAACCTGGCAGCACGGCAGCAGCGAGCAGTGCGCGTGCCTACTGGCGGCGGTCACCGCGCACAGCAGCGGGGCATTGACCTGGCACTGTACACGCGACAGCACATGCACCAGTCTCCTGCACGGAGCCCGAGTGGCGTCTTCCACCGGATAGAGGCTCAGTACATGATGACTGAGAGTCAGGAGAGGGGACAGCTTATCCGGTAATACCTGAATTAGATGATCGTATATGACCGGTGACCGTGCATAGGCGCATTTCGATCAGAGATTCCCAAAATTATTTCGAAAAGTGACCCTGAGTTTAACTTGAAACATAGATCAGGGGTTCCCAAACTTTCGTCTCCTCTTTGAAAATAAAATATTTTTAACGTCTCCGTTTTTTCAACTACTCAAGACCACTATAACTTTAGATAAAATTAATGATTGTGAATTATATTAGCGGATATTAAACATTCACACTAAACCTGTGCGCAGTAAATAGTACACGAGTCTCAAGTTAACTCTTCCGATACCCCCATTTTTTTTCAGGTAAATTAACAAACAGTTTTAGAATAGGGTGACCATAAGTAGCAACATTGATTTAGAAACATTTTCTCATCTTTACACCTCTGTAGGCGAGTCGTTCGCACGCGCGTTTCAAGGTGTCACCTCTGAGGTCCCGGGTTTGATGCCCGGTCGGGTCAATGTAGAAAATGAACTTTTCTATATTGTTTCGGGACTGGTTGTTGTGGTACCTTCGTTGTCCCATTTACTCCATAATACGGGGGCTTTAGCTACTCATCTTGAAATATGAGCAATGTATGTGATGTTGTTTAATATTTAATATATAAAATATTATTAAGTTGAGATATTATAAGTTTAGTATATTTATAAGTTTACTTTATGCCGCCATCGTGTATTTCTGTATCCCAAAGGTTGACTGGTATAGAATGCTAATAGCATTAAGTCCGCCTCTTGTACCAATTTAATGGACAATAAAGTTTGTTAAAGAAATAAATAAATAAATATTTTTTTTTCTCAAATATCTATGATTTACAATGACAAACACAATATTAAACTTTTTACACTTATTAAACATTGTTGCTATAAAATATAAAGATATTAAAATTAAATATTTCCCCTCACCTCACAGTCCTCTGCGAGAACCGAATCCAGGACAGTAAATAGATATTCCATGAAGTCCTCGAACACCAAGTGTCTATTTTCCAACACGATGGTGTCTTTACCATCTCTACTGTCCAACAAGTCTGTCCACAGAGGTAGATATTGTTCTATATTATAAGAAGCGTCGGTTAATTGACACGACTCTGATATCATGAGTGTTACCGCAGCCTAAAACGACAAAAATGTTAATCGATGAAAGATATTCGTAATTCAAATCGTAAATCATACGGTGTTTATTTATTTCGTAAAAGTGATTATATTATATTTGATTAATCATTCATTCACAATGCTATACTGAAAAATATATGAAAAAAGCTTAAAAATTTGATTTTTTAAGCATTTTTTTATTAAGAATATCGTTAAAAATGATGTAATGAAAGTGACACATAGAAACATCATAAAAATTAAATAATATAATATGGTGTGTTCCGTATATTTAGCGCAGGAACGTGAACGGGTCACCTCTTGCCGGATTATCTGCATTCCCACATTTGGGGCCATCCATAAATTACGTCACACGGTAAGGGGGAGGGAGGGGGTCGACGAAGTGTGACATTGTGAGACAAGGGGGTGGGAGGGTCCTAAAGTTCGTGACGTCACATTTCAAAATATATTACAATCTAAGTGTTAAAACACGAATTTTAAACTATTACTTTACAAAAAACTTGCAAAATATGTGACATCACATATTTTACAAGATGATAGTGAACGCCCGACGATGGAGGATTAGCATTTGCATTTCTGCTAACAATAAAGAAGAAAAAGAACGTCCGTATTGGGTACATCCATTGAATACTCGGAGAAACTACGAGAGTTCGTTTTATCTAAAGAGAGCTAAGTTACGAGCACATCCAGATAAATTCTTTGATTTCTACAGGATGTTAATAAATTCTTTTGACAACTTCATTATTAATAAAGCAAAATACCTGCATGATTGCATTCGAAACGTACGTACGGAATTTATTCCGTTTGGATAATAAGCGAACATGTGCGTTTGTTAATGTATTTTCTATTGAATCCATGCATTCGAATGTCCGAATACGAAAATCGAGGACGGAAAACGTGTGTATGCGGCCAGCCTTAGTGAAAACAGAATATTAATTTACCGCAGACTAGACCCCAAAACTAAGTGTCAAAACTAAAAGTATGTCAGCAGGGAATTGAAAGAAATATCCTGGGTGTTAAACTTAGAGATAGGCTACGTCTTCAGGATATAAGGAGGAGGACAGGTGTGGTAGATGTAATCCATAAAGTGAAGACCTTAAAATGGAAGTGGACAGGACATATGATGAGATCAACAAAACCAAAATGGGCAAAAGATATCAAACTATGGTACCCTCGTGACGGACAACGGAAAAGAGGTAGGCAGATAAAGAGATGGGAAGATGACCTACCGAAGGTATGGAGAAGAGCAGCCAGAGATAGAAGGGAATGGGCTAAGTCGGAGAAGGCCTTTGTCAAAGGACAACCTGGCGGTACAGATGCCGATGTCGGTTGAAAAAACTAAATTGTAACTATAATTGATATACAAAGTCAGAGAATAAAGGCTATTTTTATTTTATTTATTAGACCCCAAAGACTGTTGACAAAGATTAATTACTAATATTATTTTGAATAGTAATAACTTACTCGGTGGGAAACTACGAATACTCACTTTACGAACATCCTCGGGCGCTTTAAGCAGACCGTACACGACAATAGTTTTCTTCTTCGAGCTGGGTATGTTGGTGTAGAACAATATGGCCGTCTGTAATAAACTGTCGCTGTACAGAGCATTCGATTCTATGCACCACAATATCTGGAATTAATAAAATTAATAAGAAACTTTGGAAGTCTATTAACCGAACATCACATAGACCATCTGCCAAGCCCAAAAACTGTGCCCACGAACTCGTGGATTACGCAAACATGTCAAGTCATAAATCATCATTGGACGCATGTAATGATTACTTCTGTTCAGTCGGTAACAATTTGGCAAGAACTATTCTAGCAAGGCTGTCGGAGACACAAGAAACGCTTGTCCGCAAAATAAAAATAGACAATCCAAATATACACTCTTTTTATATTTCGCCCACTGATGAAAAAGAAGTCGAGGAACTCATAAAAAAACTAGACTTAAATAGTTCACCAGGTCTGGACAATGTAAATAACAGAGTTCTCAAGGCCATTGGTCACTTAATTTCATCTCCTCTCGCAGATATTTTCAATAAGAGTATGGAAAGTGGCGTTTTCCCGGAAGCCTGGAAGGTGGCTGTTATTATCCCGATATATAAAAGTTCCGCAAAAAATGATCCCAGCAACTACCGGCCCATATCTCTTCTGGGGAGTATCTCAAAACTTTTAGAGCGCATAATAAATAAGAGACTGATATCGTTTCTGGAATCGCACAATATAATCTCAGATAGGCAGTTTGGTTTTCGAAGAGGAAGGTCCACAGAGAACGCTGTCACGCTGCTGACCGATACAATAACCACACATCTTGATAACGGACGCAAGTGCATCGGCATGTTTCTGGACCTCACAAAGGCCTTTGACACAGTGTCGATTCCAATACTTCTGAAGAAGCTAGAGGGATATGGAATAAGAGGGAATGCTTTGAATTGGTTTTCTAGCTACATGTCCTATAGAAGCCAATGTGTTAAAATTGGCAATAACATGAGTGGCAGTGGGCGAGTTGACTTTGGTGTGCCTCAGGGGAGCATTCTAGGACCTACGCTGTTTAATCTTTATATAAATGACGTCTGTTCGATTGCTATACCAAACACTGACATCATATGCTACGCTGACGATACAGCGCTTATCTTCTATGACGACTCTTGGGATCTCGTAGCTCGGAGAGCTAAGTATGGTATGAAATTGATGTCACAGTGGTTAAGCAAAAACATTTTAACACTAAACACTGCCAAAACGAAATATCTCTGCTTTCACAAGACATCTGCATCTGCTCCTGATATCAAATTAGACCGTATTCATATCGGACTCGACCCTGAGGACAACGAATTTTTAATAAACGGCAATTATATCGTCAGAACTGATGCCTTGAGGTACCTTGGAGTCGTGCTCGATGAAAAACTCACCTTTAAACTGCACATTACCTTAACATCTGGTCGGGTTCGGAAGATTTTACGTCCGAACGTCTTTCAAGGCAGATCTGTGTTTGTTGGCTCCGTCGTTTTTTATTCGTTTTTCCACATTTTTCATTACTTTTCGACAAGTGATACATGTTGTTACGAGGAGATTGACTTGCATGGTGAGAATCTGTGAGCTGTTTACTAATTTGTTATGTACATCGGAAGATATAACGAATTAAGATTTGTGTTCAACCGTTAAATCGCAACAATTCGCAAGACGCCCGCTGAGGTGAGTCAACCAAGCACTTTCAATCGGTCGGCCGCTGTCGGCTATTGTCGACGGCGTTCGTAATAATAATCACTCACAACTTTACCGGCGGAACGCACATACGCTCTTCTACCCGCTTCAAGCTCGCTTTTTGCTTATTTTACTAAACGCTCGCTCTAAGCCTAAGGCTGACTCAACTATGGCTGCTTGTGCGGGATGCAATCACAAAATTAACAATGATGATTATTTTATGAAATGTGTGAAATGTCGTGATATTTATGATTTACCATGTGCTGGAATTACTTCCGATAAATATATCTCTCTCACCTCCGAAATTATGAAATCCTGGGTGTGCATGACCTGTAGGAGCAAAACATCAAAACCTAATAATTTAAGCACCCCTGTTCGTTTTCTTATGAGTTCTAACAGTATGAACAATAATACATTACTGGAGACAGCTGACAATTCGTTATCAGAGAGTGAATTTGAAAATGTAACTCTTCGCCGCGGACGAAACTCTGTAAAAACCAATATATGCATGTGTGGAGACCTAGGACAACTCAGGCAAATAATTAGAGAAGAGTTACAAGATATTATGAAAGATCCTTTAATTATGATTTCCAAACTATGCAAAGATTCGGAGTACCAGAAAATTGCTATAGAAAAAATTGTAGGAGTTCAGATGTCTGTACATGACAAGTTAAATAAAGTCGAGCTGGTTAGTCGCAACTATAATAATGCAGATAAATCGAATAGTCACTCTGGTATGCCGGTTTTAAATAAAACAAAAAAAAAATACTACCGTCATAGGAAGTGTAAATGAGCGGAAAGTCACTACTGAAAATCGCGCAAATCCGTCTCAGCAGGCTGGTTCACTGATTTCGGACATTCCATCTCAACAATTACAGAGGACTCCGTGTTCAGTATCTCAAGGGCAAATGAGCTCACAGGCAACTCTTACATTAAACCTTGATGGTAATGATGAGTCCGATGAAAGGGCGTGGACCGAGGTGAAGCGGAAGCGGGCGCGAGCGTCTGTGCCCGGAGTACTGCGTGGTACAGCGATGCCTGGAGCTACTTTGTTAAGTGCGGCCGAAAGGAAACGGTACTTACATCTGTACTACGTGCAGGAGGGGACAACGGATGACCAAGTGCGTGCTCATCTCACTACAGTGTGCGGAGGGGATGTATGTTCGGTTGAAGCATTAAAATCACGCGGGAAGTACGCATCTTTTAAAGTTGGTGTGCCAATTAAGTATGCTGAGCTAGTTATGTCCCCAGACAAATGGGCAATGGATATCTGTGTTAAACCCTGGCGTCAGAACTTTCGTGGTAAACAGGAGACAAGGCAATAAAAAACAATTAAAAAAGCTGCATTGTTACTATCAAAACGTTAGGGGTTTGCGTTCTAAAACAGTGACATTTTATAATAATATTAGCCAGTCGAACTATGATGTTATCGCTTTAACAGAGACATTCTTGACAGATTCAGTGTATGATGGCGAACTTTTTCCCGCCGGATACGTTGTGGTTCGCAAGGACCGTGCCGGTAATACTGGGTGGGATGGCGTTCTACTAGCGGTGCGTGACTACCATTCTGTACAAGTAATTGATGACATTGATGGCCTCACACACGATAAATAAATAATTTGTACTATTATAAAATCTAAAAATGTTAAACTATTATGTGTTGTAGTATATTTACCCCCTAGATATACAGATGACCAATATCTAGATGTTTTAACATGTATAGAAAATGTAATTTGTTTGTATCCGAATTTGACTATATTACTTTTAGGAGATTTCAATCTCAATTCATGTAGTTCCAATGTTAAAATGCAGTTTGATAATTTTCGTTTATTTTGCGGATTACGTGAACATAATTATGTGTGTAATAGGTATGGTGGTATGTTAGATCTTGTGTTGAGTGATCTCATGTCCGATCAGGTGGTGCTAATGAAAAGCACTCAACCTTTGGTGGAAATCGATGAGTATCACCCTCCCCTCGAAATAATTGTGAAATTGAGGAACGTTATGCATCCGTCGGTGTGGTATCCATTTCCACCGGTTCCACGACCTGAGTCAAACACCATTCCCGAGTGGAATTGGTGTAAGGCAAATTTTCAGGCATTATATGCTGCTCTGGGTGATATCGATTGGTCCGTTGTTTACAAGACTGACGATGTGGATGCTGCCATAATTGCATTTTATACTAAAAAATATACGAATCTATAGATTTATATGTACCGCGGAAAAATAGCCCAACGCGAAATTCTAAATATAGGTACCCAAAATGGTTCACGGGAGAAATCATTAGTAACTTAAAACAAAAATATTTTCATCTAAAGCAGTTCAAATCGAAAGGAAAGGAATATAATAAAGAATTGTATAAGTATTACAGATGGCATGTGAAAAAACAAATATATAAACAATACAAATAAAATGTAAATAATATACCTTTATAAATGCGATTAAATTCCACCTGCCGGTTGAGTGATAAGTTTGATTACATAACATATTTGACATTAAAATAAAGAAAAAAAAAGATTTTTTCTTATTTTCTAACTGTATACAACATACATTGCAAACATTCATAAAAAGGAAAAAAAAAAATACGTGGCTGTACGACCACAGATCCCGACGCTTTAAACTAATGAGAGAAAATATGTTGACAGTCTGACACTAAATGGACATAAACAAACAAATCTTAATTGATAAATATTATAGATAATATGTTATTACAAAACTTAGAGCAGTGTAGTGTAATAAGTATATTGAGCGTACATAAAAGTTACATAATAACAAGTGAAACCTTACCTACAGGTCCACATAATAGACAACTAAACGCAACATACACATGAGGAGTTATTAACAAGTACTATCATTTCTTATTAATACCCGTTCTCTTGCTTCTGGTTGATGCAGCCGAATCCTTGCTTGCGCCCGTCTTCGGGGCATCGACAGATGGGATCTTGTCAAGCTCCGTTAGTGAGCATATACGATGACGTTTTCCATCGCCGGCAATCACGAAGATGAGACCTAATCTAGTGAAGCACTTGTTGACCCCATATTTTTGTCGAGCAGCCATAAAAGTGTCGTGCCGAGACTTTGTCAGGAATTCAGAGATAGTCAAACCGGAACCTTTTAAGTTTGCTTTAGAAAACCAAATTCTATTGCGTACCTCCTCATCATGAAGCTTCATTAAAACAGGTCGAGGACGATTGGTAGACGTACTCTTCCCCATACGATGGCAACGATTAATGTCCTTTTTAGAGAACCCGGTGATCTTCAGACGCTCAGAGACAGTTTTGACAACAATAGATGCTGTATCTTCGTTAGGCTCCTCTGGAACACCATGTAGAAGTAACATCTTCCTTCTGCTGTGCATTTCAATATTGTCAGTTTGGCGTGCCAGTAAACTGATCTGTTCCTGGATATTCTGAAGCACTGTCATGATAAATTTCCTAAATGTAGAAAATTCTCCAGTGAGGTTAGTGATGGTGGTAGAAGGTGCAGCAGCTTGAAGGTCATTTTGATATTTGTCCATCCTATCTATGAACATCTTTTGGAGCTGTAACAGAGTATCTTGGATGCCATCCATTTTACAGCAAAAGGGTGGTTGTTTGCAGTCAAGATGTAAAATTGATACGTTTTGGAATTAAGTGAGGATAACACTCTCCAGCAGGTATGGTGAATATCACTTTATTATATCATAGGAATTAAGCCTATTTGTATAGACAATAAATAATATTTAAATTAAATAAACACAGAGATTTTTAAGATGACTTTTTTTTTTACTATGTAAAAGTAGAAAAGAAAAAACAAACATTTTGATAACATTATTAATATTAATATTATAAATGTGAAAGTTTCTTTGTTTGGATGTTTGTCCGTCACGCCGAAACTACTGAACGGATTTTGATGAAATTTGGTATACAGATAGGGTATTAACTGACTTAGATTATAGGATACTTTTTATCCCACTAAAGATTTCCCTACGGACCAAACGACCTGGCGAGAGCTAGTAATTAATTATGATAAATCACATGTACACTTAGCACGTACATAAAAAAAAAAAATCCTTGCAATCGGGAGATAACTCCGAAACACTATAATATTCCCTCAGCGTAATCCTTAAGCAACTTTCGCAAGGGTCGATCACGGGATGGATGACCGAAAAATTATCTCGATACTCCGCGCTTCAGCAGGCACGTTAAGCCGTCGGTCAAGGCTGCATTCACAGGACGTTAATACCCTCCAATCCGCATTGTTAACCATCCATAAGGAATCTGATCTGCTGCAGGGAGGGTATAAAAGGGCTGATGATGACGGTCCACTCACCGCGTTAGCAGTGTCAACGCTGACGTTCCCACACTTCAAGTCGTGCTCGAGCACTTGTACATCGACTTCTGCTGTGACGTCACGCGCCCCCACCACGCCCCGGGCGATGCCCAACGCCGTGAACTTGACCTCGCTGACCGACGATTGTACACGCGGCACCAACTCTGTATCGACTATATCCTGAAAGAAATTAATTAATTGTAGCACAGTGAGATATGTAAGATAATCAAAGTTTACATTAGCAAATAAAAAATGTTATTGACCTAAAGAACACACTTATGAGTAAAGGCTATTATAAAGTTGATGATTATTTTAAGGACGCAATGCATGGAATTAATGGCCTTCGCTTTGTTCTATAAAGACTAATTATATGTTTAAATCAATTATATCTTAATCTTATTAATTATATCTTATTAATCTTTTTTATTATAAAATTAAATTCAAAAATATTCGAAAATTTACACCTTTTATGACATTTTCAACTACCACGACCACAACTTCTCAATTATGTTCAATCCTTTTTTGGTATCGGATACCTAAGTAGCACTACTATTCGCTACAACTGTTGAAAACACCAAAATGCCCACAGTATTTACACAAAAAACAATCAAAATGTATTTTTTTCCTTAAATTTTCACAGATTTTTACGTTCCGTAATCTTTGACTCACAGTCATGTAGAAAAAAAGTATGGACACTACTGCGGCGAGTTGTTTTTAAAATTGACGCAGCTCATGAAGATTCAAAAATGGTATAATACTTCATGATAACTAGCAACAGACTAAAAATCATACCATTTAGAATCAAGAACCAAAGTTGTGAGTAATAAATTGTACTGTTCCGAAATGTTTTAATATTTAAAAAAGATATTCAAATAAAACAATAGTGAGTTTTAGTCTCATTCATTTATTAATAATTAACATTACAGTAAATGTTCAAATTGTTTTCCACCGGCATTAATACATGCACGACATCGCCTTAAAAAAGAGCGTTTTATTTTTCGTGCATACCTTTTAGCATTGATATGTGACGCAGCCTGACTAATTTTTTGCCGAAGCTCGTCCAATGTCGTAATGGGTTTTTCATAGATTTTGTCTTTGAGACAACGCCAATAGAAAAAGTCCAGGGGGTTTAGGTCGGGTGATCGGGGTGACCATAAGATAGGACCAAGTCGCCCAATCCAACGCCCGGAATACTCTTGGTTTACAAATGGTGTGCCGGATAGCGACCACCGGTACTTGGTTTTGATTATTCGTGGCTTTAGCTATTGGAAATTTTGCGTAAATTTTGGGAGCGATAAATAAAAGATGTGTGTCGTTGAAGAACCGTTTAAAAAGTGAAAGTAGAAATTGTTTCAAAAAGTTACAACGTCTTTTTTTTTGTAAGTTGCGTTTCGTTCGTTCATGAACAAATGGTGTGCATATTTTTTTACTGTGACTAGTTCAAAATCAAAATCAAAATCAAAATTTATTTATTCAGTTTAGGCTTTTACAGAGCACTTGTGAAAGGCGAAAACTACGCCATCGGTTCGCAAAACTACGGCGGGAGACCTTGTACTGAGAAGAACCGGCAAGAAACTCAGCAAGGGTTGTTTTTTTCTCCCTGTTTTATTTCACACAGAGAAGTCTTATTGAAAAGTGACTTCATTAGAATATGAAGTCACTTTCCATTACAATATTAGAAAGTAAATACAACAAAGTTAAAATATCTAACACCATGCCTTTTTGTCATTTAGATATTCCTTAACGGTATAATACCCTTTACTTTGTAGACAACTTTTAATATGACTTTTAAAATGATTTATTGGCGAATCTAATACATCACTGGGGATCTTGTTAAAGTATTGTATACCTTGACCCATGAAAGAACCTAATACCTTCTGTAACCTGTAAGAAGGCACTACTAGCTTGTTTTTATTTCTAGTATTAAGTTTGTGTACATCACTATGTTTGGTATACACATTAATATTGTTCCGGACAAAAAGTATACAACTATATATAAATTGAGATGCAACCGTCAATATTCCAATTTCTTTAAATTTCTCTCTAAGAGATATTCGCGAACCCAACTGATAGATAGCTCTTATTGCCCTTTTCTGTAAAACAAATATAGACTGAATATCGGCTGCCGTTCCCCACAATATAATGCCATAGGACATGATACTGTGAAAATAACTAAAGTACACTGTCCGGGCAGTTTCTATATCGGTAATTTGTCTTATTTTTCGTATGGCATATGCAGCTGAGCTGAGTTTACCAGCTAATATAGAAATATGAGGGTTCCATTGCAGTTTTGAATCTAATGTTATGCCCAAAAATTTTGTTGGACTTACTAACTATAAATGTTCATTGAGTTTAATTTCAGTTGGTTCTACTTTTACATTAGGTAATGTGAATTTTATACATTTGGTTTTTTTAGCATTCATTTGAAGATTATTAACTGTGAACCAAGATAACACTCGTGAGAGAGCATTGTTTACAGCGTCAAAATTATATTTGTTTCTGTCAATCTTAGATCATTACAAAAAAGTTATCTTAGATTATTATACCATTTTTGAATCTTCATGAGCTGCGTCAATTTTAAAAACAACTTGCCGCAGTAGTGTCCATACTTTTTTTCTACATGACTGTGAGTCAAAGATTACGGAACGTAAAAATCTGTGAAAATTTAAGGAAAAAAACACATTTTGATTGTTTTTTGTGTAAAAACTGCGGGCATTTTGGTGTTTTTAACAGTTGTAGCGAATAGTAGTGCTACTTAGGTATCCGATACCAAAAAAGGATTGAACATAATTGAGAAGTTGTGGTCGTGGTAGTTGAAAATGTCATAAAAGGTGTAAATTTTCGAATATATATTTTTTTTTATTTTTCCATAAGTACACATGAGCAAGGGTACCTCTTGGCGTCCGCTTATCGTTGAATTTTGGGACACGTTGTATAATGATAATTTATTTTATAATTGTAGCTCGGTGGCGTAGTGGATAAGCGCCGCGGCCCGCGATCGTAGTCGTTAAGCAACTTTCGCAAGGGTCGGTCACGGGATGGGTGACCAAAAAATTATTATCTCGAGCTACTCCGTGCTTCGGAAGGCACGTTAAGCCGTTGGACCCGGCTGCATTTGCAGTCGTTAATACCCTCCAATCCGCATTGGGCCAGCGTGGAGGGTCATGGCCCATCCTCCTTAACCATCCATAAGGAAGTCCTGAGCCCCTGCAGTGGGGACGTAAAAGGGCTGGTGATGTGATATACATTTTTTACCCGACTGCAAAGGAACGATTATGGGTTTTCACGCGTATCTTGTTCTTTTACTTTTTGAACCAACCTTTTATTTTTTTCCAATAAAAAAACGTAAATAAAATTATAATAATAAAAAACCGCCTGCGTGATAAACAACTAACAGAAAAAGTTGAAACAAGATAAAAAAATATGCGACATTACACATAATATGCAGGGGGCATGCACAAAGAGCTAATGATTTGACTTATCATACAATTTCATGACTGCCGTATTTTTTTTATCTTGCTCCAGTTATTTCAGTTACTTGTTTTTCACACAGGCGGGTTTTTTTTACATAAAGGTGACGTTGCGAGCCTCCGCTTAACTTTATTTAGCAATTTATTATTAAATTAAAGCAAAAAAAAAGAACGTATCCAATATGTTTCTATTAGATGGATATCAGACTAATATCCATGCGCCAATAAAAACAAATATATAAAAATTTAACACACCTGTAACGTCTGCTCATCAACAACTGTAGCTAAGGCTGTATATACACTTTTCAGCGCAGCAGACTCCTGTTTATCCCACAAATGCTGGCGTAAATGTAAATCTCTTGATAGCAATTCTTTAAATAACTCCGAATATAATTCCAATATTTGTAAACAAGCTGGAAAATCATGTATAAATTATAAATATTATCGTAACTATATCACTCAACTAGCTCGGAGGTGTAGTGGAAAAGCGCCGCGGCTCGCAATCGTTGTTGTGAAGCAACTTTCGCAAGGGTCGGTCACGGGATGGGTGACCAAAAAATATTATTATCTCGAGCTTCTCCGTGCTTCAGAAGGCTTAAACCGTTGGTTCCGGTTGTATTTGCAGTGGTTAATACCGTCTAATCCACATTGGCCAGGCGTGGAGGGTCATGGCCCAGGTTGTGGAGGGTCTCCTTAATTGTAGGTAATAGGGCTGATGATAATTCTATTTAACTCTTTGGGGAGGGTGATAGTCTCAATCAGATTATGCAGAATAATAGGGTATTTTTTAAACTAAAAACATCTTTTCTTTTTCTAAATGTCGACAAAAATATTCCCCTAATATCACAAAAGATACCAAAAAAGTCCAGATTTTTTGCACCTAGCAACACCTCAGCCTAATGCTCAAAAATTATTTTCCTCAAAATACTTTGTTTTGCCAAGTAAGTTGGCTTGATGTGGTGAAATATTTTTAATTCCAACTCTCAGGGTATAATGAAAGCCAACTCAAACAGCCTCTTGCCCCACATCAGTGTTAATAACTGTACCTTTTATCGCATTCAAAATACTATTATTAAATGCCTAGTGGCAATACTGACATTATTATTTGCCACGTAGCAACACCAGCGCTAGAGTAAACAATGAAAAAGTTTCTCTATTAAATTTTTCCATACAAATTTCTTACCTTTCTCGCATCCTTTTTTCATAATGTACTCTTTAGAAATCTTCGTATATAAATCATTAAACTCCACGACGGGCAGATCTCGTCCGAAATGCTTGAACAAACCGCGTATTCCTTCTAACACCGCCGACACAACAGTATCCTTTAATTAAATACCATTACTGTATGTATGTACTAGTGGTTAGCAACTTTCACAAGGGCCTATCATAGGATGGGTGACCAAAACTTTATAAAGACACATTAAGAAATCGACAACGGCCAAACCACAATAGATAAACATGGCCCTTGCCTGTACCCCAGCAGTAAAGATGTTAATAGACTCATTAACTTCTTTATTGCTGGGGTACAGGCAAGAGCCACTTTAATCCTCATTATTTAATGAGGATTAACTGATAAACATCAAATACAAATTATATATTTTTTTATATAAAAAACATCACATTAATTGGTCAGATTCCAAGATGAGTAGCTAAAGCCCCCGTATTATGGAGTATCTGAAACAAAAGTGGTACCACAACACCCAGACCTGAGAGTTATAGAAAAGTTCATTTTCTACATTAATCCAAACGGAGATCGAACCCGGGACCTCAGAGATGGAAACGGAGGTCGTATTTATAGAAATTGTTGGAACACATCTCACCGTATTTTTATTGGAGTCCAGCATGTTTAGATACAGTCTCCATATACGATGAATCTCATCTGCCACCAGTTCTGGGTGGTACTCAGCTATTGTGCCTGAAAACAAGTACCGGTCAAATATTAAGGTCTGCCAGGTTAATGTGGAAACCCATTCAATTGTTGTGTTATTTCTTATATTATAAGGAAACAAATATATTTCTCTAATGTCACCACAGAACTTGCAAATGTGTCTGTAACTATACTAAATAGTATTGGAATTTTATATTATTCTGTTTTGAGTTATAAATTCCACATATTAATTTCAACTAACTCATAAACAAATGCACAGGCAACTCACGCGTTTGTCTTTCTTTGGCACCAAGGCAGATAATATTTAGTAGTAATCTAATAAGGAGATAACAATGGTTTGCCCAACATACCAATCAATACTGCAAGCGGTGCCTTGGAAGTGACAATATCTTCCAATTCAGAGACCAGTCGCTGTATATCGCGTCCTGCCTCAGCACTAACTCGAGCCACTGCCGTTAAACACTTCAAGGCATCTTTACGTATCTGTGGTATGTACGGCTGGAGACACAGCTATAGGAACCAGAATAAAACGAAAATGTTTTTGTGGCATTGAGGTGCTAACCACACCTCACCACGTAACCTATGCTCACATAGCAGCATTTCAAGTTACAACATGTCATCAATACTGTGTTGATTTTTAACTGTACTCATAGAGTTAAATTAATTTAATAGATTTTAAACCTTAACATGTAGATGTTAAGGTTTAAAATGTAATGTACTGGCAGTTTGTATAATCTAAAGGAGTCACAGACAATGCAAGATTAAAGTCTTTTAAATTAACTTTGTTAATTTGTATTAATAATATAATAATAATATTTATTAGGCCACAAAAAACAAATAATAAACATTTATTCAATAAACGTCATATTAATAGTTAAGTTTATAATAGTAACCTTACCGTTACAATATTCTCATAATCAACAGGATATTTCTCAACAATAAAGGTTATCAACTTGAATGCATCACATATCGGTCTAATCCACTGGTTGTCTTGGCAGTTCGCTGTCATTGTTTCAAACAGGTTAATGGGCTTGTAGAATAAAGTATTGATAATCCAATCTGGGAATGACAAATTATGTTCATTGCATTTATCAAATATCTCTTAATTTAACTTTTAGTGCCTTACAGGTAGTTTCAAAGATTGGTATTATACTATCTAGTCTACTATACTTAAATTATTTAATGTGTCTAGTTATAAAAATCATTCAGTGAATGGTTAGTGATTGGTCAATAAATGCAGAAATTAAACTAGTATTTCCAAGGAGAGGTCATGAGATGGATAAGGTTTATTTTCATTTAACTGTTAATATTTCCATGGCTGAGCTATGCTGATGATGAATTACTGTGAGAATCTCAGAATATGCAAAGTCTAAACAGAGAAGCAAACTTACTGTAATATTAATGAGACACCCAAGACATGAAAAGATTATTTCACTAACCAAACTCAAAAGGCGCCAAATCTCCATTTAAAGCTACCTCGACTGTATTGAGCATTTTGCTGAACTTCCTCAAATCAGCTGCCGCTGGATAATCTTCCACTACCAACTCCCAATCATCCATTATTAATTATATCTGAAAACATAAAAAATATTAAAAAAATCAAATACTATATGCAACAAAAATAATCTATACATTGGAATTAAGCAGTTAAGCACATATTTATTTCAAAAATAAGAAAAACGTCGTCAAAAATTTAAAGATAACAAAAACATGTTGAAACAGGTTTGTATGTAGTTATCATAGCACGCACATATTTAAAATCTTGGTTAATATCAAGAACGTTCAAGACGCAATAACTATGAGACAACGAATCAAATAAAGCACAAGTACATACTTTTCCAGTATTCTTAATATTGGTAAAAAAACATATAATGCATATATCAACAATATAGTTTTGCTGTTTTCGCGGGTAGTAGTTTGTAATATTTAACTAGTGATGATCCATTCAAGTCACTGACTTACTTACATCAACTCAATTCGAGTTAAAATCAATTAAACATGATTTTGACGACCTCCGTAGCCGAGTGGTTCGCACGCCGGTTTCAAGGTGTCGCCATCTCTGAGGTCCTGGGTTCGATTCCCGTTTGGGTCAATCTATAAAATGAACTTTTCTATATTGACTCCGGTCTGGGTGTTGTGGTACCTTCGTTGTCCAGATACTCCATAATACGGGGGCTTTAGCTACTCATCTTGGAATCTGAGCAATGTATGTGATGTTGTTAAATATTTATTATTTATATATGTGATATATCCTTTCAAATAATAATACGAATACTCGGTCTGTTACGCGAACATCCATTTCGATTTAATGACGCCTTTAAGTTTTAATAAATGACGAACTAGTATGGTTAATGTCGCTTTAAACTAATAATAATTTTAATGGACATTTGAGCAACTGGCGAATTGAGAGGTAAAATATTACCCTTTTCTGCCTGAAACTTCTAGTATAATATTTTCTCTGATAATCGTTATTCGGATTGTTTAACTTCAGCAACTAAACATTTATACATTTTATTATTACAAACCTGAAAGTAATGATTATATTCTTAAGGTTTTTTGTGAAAGTTTGCTTCTAATTTTATACTGGTTTTCAAATACCTATAGTAAAACAATATCGAAACTAATCAGTTTCATAATAATCTTTTTAATATCGCCGCACATCCCTATTTAGAAGATGTGATATGTCAATGTCACATCAAATACCAGTAGTATTTAATTAAATTTAGGGCAAAAGAGTCAACCGATACTACCCTAAACTTTCGTATTTAGTCTAAGTTTTTATTATACACTATATTATATCTCACGCAGATGGCTAATTTATGTCAAAATTTGGCTATACTCTATTCATTATAGCATTAGACAGAAGTTAAATAAGGTTCTTTTTATGGTATACTTTGTGACTAATTATCAATAATCATATTACTTTTAAGACTGAAAGCTAATTTGCTACATATCCATTTAAATACCAGCTGCTATACTTAATTGTTGTCATTTAAGCTATCTATTAAACAAATTTATGAGTATATGACCAACTTAAATGATTTAATAACTATTACAATAAAAAGTGTCCATCGTAAAGAACCTAAAGAAGCAGGGTTGATTAATTTCGGCACGATTCTCATGTCACTATAACTCTATTAAATTTAAAACGTTGCCTAACCCCTTCAAACTTTTCGGCAGTACAGCTTTTTAACTTTGTCAAACTATTATTTATTCATAAATGTTAAAATCGTAATCTGGGATTGTCATCCATTATGAATGCTACTGCCTTTCTTGTTGTTTCGCCGTTTTCCGTGATTAAGTTGTTATTATTTTATTTTTGTTGTTAAGTTTTGTTAAATATGGACGATGCCGTTGCAGGCCCGAGTGGCCTACAAAAATTACGCTCTAAGCCCCCAATACCTACCCTCAACCTTTGACATATCAGGAAGTTTGTCCAATGTCTTTATCAATAGTCTAACTAATTACACTTGCAAATTGGAATTTATCAAAACAACAGACAGATAGTTTCAGTTGTAGTTCCATGTTCGCTTAGGAGTAAAAGATGAATATATAAAATGCTGGCCTCATCTCAACCACGAGGTATCGTAAACAATGAAAAATTGCCCAGCATTTTCAGACAACCTAACGTTCAAAGTTTCAATAAAACTAATATATATATTTTTTAAATTTATCTTGAAAATAAAATGTTCTGCACTGCTGCTTCTTTGACCCTCTTTTTTTCTAATGTTATAATGAATGGAGTATAGATAGGAATATGGTCAGGAGTAAATTCAATGCTAGGAGGCAGTTATTGAAATGTATTTAATATATTAAAAATATTACAAATATCAAGATATCTTTTTCCTTATCCTTTATCCTTATGGAGGTATAATTGGGACATCTGTACTGGATACTGAGTAATGTATATCCATAGTACTTCAACATATTGAAATAGCAAGCTTACGAAAGCTCTTTCGCGTATTTTGTAAAATAGGAAATGCTTTGCAGTCCGCCATTCAATAATTTGCATTTTAAGATGTACGTTTTTTTTTGTAGGTTGAATGTAGCAGATGTACTGTAGCTGGATTTGAAGGCGGGCAGGTAGCAGAGGTTTCGAGTAAAACACTTGGTTCGGAGAAACTCGGAGAACGTTCGAAGGCAGAACATGCTTTATTGCGCAAAATCGATTTCTTATATACAATTCCCTCTTTTCAAAAGAAAATGTTATAAAATTGTGTATGAAAAAATTATTTATCAATTAAATCCATCTTATAATAAACGTAAGTATTTTTTTTTGTTTATTTAGAAACTTATCATTTTCTGATTCTGTTTCGACTGATCACGTGATCAAAAGCACTGCGAGCACCTTACCTCGAAATCTCCAGTGCTCACAGTACAAATATGGCGGCAATTTATGACGTCATACATTTCCCTAGGGTACTGTAGCAGTGTACTGGCAGTCCATAACGGAACGGCTTTTTCAGCAGTAAGACCACTGCGCAGTGCTCGCAGTGTATATCGGAACATACCCTAAGCAAATGCTACTGTCACTGTTACTGTCACTGTCACCGTCACTGTCACTGTCAGTCATTCGCATACATCTACGTCATTGTCAGTTGAACGAAAATATCTCGTCATCGTATTTCTCACTTTAAAAAAATCTTTTAATCAAAAATTGTTACTGGAGTTTTCCAAGCTGGCATCAAGAAGGCTATTATTTGTGGGATTCCACAGTTTTTCACCAACTATACCGTATCGCGTCAGTTATAATAGGTTAGGTTAACTTGTTATGGTATTAGAAAATATCAATTTTAGCACCCTATTTAAATTTCCTATTATTTCTTGTGTCCGTAATTAGTATTGTGTGTAGAGCTTAGTTGGCCAACGTTTAAGGTGAGAGAATACTGCATAAACATAGTTTATTTGTATTTTTTATTTTTAAGTTTTCCCAATGTATATTTTTATTTCTTTTTACAACTACGTACCCGGGTCATTTTCACAAAAAGTGTACATTTGTGTTTCAGCCATGTCCCACTAATTTCGATTTTTTTTTAAAGTAGTATATCAACGTTCAAAAGCAACTACTGTTAAAATTAAAATCTATGGTTAGTTAACAACAAAATTAATTAACGTTTTTGCTAATAAATACAAACCTGATACCTTATTTTTTTTAAAATAAACAAGTAATTGTCGGATTTACTGCTGTCCCGTAAGTTACAATTAAAATACGTTAATATTACATTATACTAATTTCCTTAGTATAATGTAATATTAATGTATTTTTTTAACTCGCATTTCAATTGTGTTTAATTTATTGGGAAGAATAGTTATGCCCCATTTCTTGTATAATTACGAAAAAAGTCTTACGTCGTTCAAAATAATTAAATAATTTTATCATTGAGAGGACATAAATCAGTCAATATGGAAAATTCCCTTCCGAAACTGCATTTTTTCGGTGATGGTGCCATACAATCTAACATTTTTGTTTAATTTTCTTCAAATGGCAACGTTTTTGATCATGTTGACTAGTTTCGACAAGATATTCGGCCATTTTAACGGCGACGAGCGGGCGAGCAACACTCACCTCCAAACAGTCCAGTTTCATTTTTCCAAAGCCGCAACCAATTTCAAAGTAAGTTTACAAGTCCATTTCTTTCAAATTATTTCGATATCATTATTATCAATTACTGAACTTAATTTAGTGCCCAGCTTGTAGGTCTAATGTGTTTGTTTCAAATCAAATCAAATCAAATCAATCTTTATTGTTGATCACAGGTTATATAAAGATATTGGATGCAAGGACTGAATAGTTACACCGTGATCTGCCTAAAAGGCATACAATATTAGTAGGTTAGTAATTGTCAACTAATCTAATCAATAACATGTTATGTCAAAAAAAATCAATTAATTCATTAAGTATTTATACATTTACAAAGTACTGTCAGCTAGATACTCGTTTACATTATAATATGCTTTAGCTACTAACAATTTACAAAGTTTTCTTTTAAAAACATTACAATTATCCAGATTACGTATTGTTTTTGGAATTTTATTAAAAATTTTTGGAGCCATACAAAATATACTTTTGTTCAACAGTGCTGTCTTAGAGGGTATTGTACACAATTTGTCTCGATGACGCAATCTCGTCTTATTTTCAAACAGTTGTTGATTCTGTTTGACAAAAATACCAACTTCGAATATATAGATTGATGGCAGGGTCATAATATTTAGTTTAATAAAATATGGCCTACAGGTATCCGTACTCTGTAAGTGACACATGCTCCTAACACATTTTTTCTGGGCTCTAAAGGCAGTTACAGAATCAGTCGAATATCCCCAAAATATAATGCCGTATCGAACAGTAGAAACTACGTACGCGTGATAAGCTGTAAGGACCGTGCACTGATTCGCGATCCTACTAAGTTTGTACAGTGCACAAGAATACTGGGACAACTTTTTGCAAACATGTTCAGTGTGTGTTTTCCAAGTCATCCTTTTATCAATATACAAACCCAGAAATTTTGTAACATCTGATTCTTTTATTTGTGTACCAGCATAGTTAATGTTTAAGTCAAAGAGTTTGTTAGTCCTTTGTCGGAAATTCATAAATTGAGTTTTTTCTAGATTTATTTTAAGATCGTTATAATTTAACCACTGAATAATTAACTTTAATGTCATATTTATTTCATTTTCATGATCACCTACATCACTATTACCTATGAACAGAAGAGTACTATCATCTGCAAACAAAGTCATGTCATGATTAGTTATATTGGGCATGTCGTTAATATATATCAAAAATAATAGGGGTCCCAGCACACTGCCTTGAGGCACGCCAAAGGGATAATTATATCTGATTTTAGATGAATATACAACTTCTGTTCTAGTCCTTTGACAGATTTTTTTAAGTTGTGTTTTTTGTCGTCGATTAGATAAATATGACTCTATTAGTTTGTGTATATTACCGCGGATTCCATATTGATATAACTTAGATAATAAGATCCTATGATTAACGTGATCAAAAGCTTTGCTCATATCCATGAAGAGCGCTGTCGCACGAACTCTGGCATCCATACTCTTCGTTACTTTTTGCAAAAAATTGAATATCGCCATATTTATAGTTTTACTCTTCCTGAATCCCATTTGTTGGTTTGCTAATATGTTATGTGATTCAAGAAAATTATAGATAGCTCCATAAATTACCTTTTCCAATATTTTAGAAAAAATGGGTAACAAAGCTATCGGCCTATAAGAATTCATTTCTTCCTCACTATGCTTTTTGAAAATTGGTTTAATTGTTGATATTTTAAGTCTATCAGGAAATATTCCCTGTTCTATACATAAATTTGTTATGTAACTAATTACAGGAGCAATAATTTCTGCCACTTCTTTCACAACTTTTGTTATTATGCCATCATAGCCCGCACTATTTGAATTATTCAGTTTTGTTATTATTTTTAAAATTTCACTAGAATTTGTAGGGTTAATAAACACAGAATTGCATTGATTTTTAATAGTTTTGCATGTCCAATTTTTGTTTTGATTGGAATCATCTTTAATTTGGTCAATAAAATAGTCATTAAAAGCAGATACGATTGTTTTAGGATCATTTATTATTTTATTATTTATTCTTATCTTAGATATTTCGTCACAGGGGAGGTGTTTTCTCTTGTTGTTTATGACTTGCCAAGTCGCTTTAGATTTATTTTTAGATGATGTAATTAAGTGGTTGTTTTTTGCTTTTTGTGTTAGTTTAATTATGGTTCTAAGCCTCTTTGCGTATTGTTGGAAAATATCTTTATTGTTTGTGTTTTTGTTAGTTCTATATTTCCACAGTAAAATTCTTTTCTTTTTACAGCATGTTTTGATTCCTGGTGTTAACCATTTTGGGCGAGATATTAAATTTTGCCTGATTTTTAGTTTTGGAAAACATAAGTTGTAGAAAAGCAGGAATGTTTCATAAAACTCGTTAAAAGATTGATTTGCTTCTTTGGATTCGAAAACATTACTAAAACTAATTTGACTCAAGCAATTTTTAAATTTGGAACAATTTTCGCCAGAGTAATCAATTCTGTATCTAAACCAGTATGGAAATGTGCATGTCTTTTTGACTGGACATTTCATAATTTGTGCAGTATGATCTGATAATGCATATTCAATTACTTCGGCTTTACAGCGATATATATTATGCAAGAAGTTGTCAAGACACGTGCCACTACTCATTCGAGTTGGTTCTCTAATTGCGATTTTAAGGTTAAAACTCCAACATAGTTCTTGAAATTCCTTTGAATATCTGGTCTGTTTTAAAATATCTATATTGAAATCACCAACTATAATAATTTTGTGATTTCTTAATTTATTTAAAATATTATGTAATGTGAAAAAGAATGTCGCATATGATTGCGATTTGCCATCAGGAACTCTGTATATGCAGATAACATAAATTTTGTGTTCGACTAATTCAACAGCCGAGCATTCAATGACATTACTAATTGATAGTTTATTTATTTCTGAAATTGGTCTAAAATTGTGTTTGTTACCAACTAAGATACATGACCCACCACATCTCTTTTTTCTGAAAAAGCATGAAGCAATTCTAAAATTTGGTACATTAACGTGGTCTAAGTCATCTTGAGACAAATTATGTTCAGTAATACACAAAATATCTATTGGCTTACCCAATTCAGTGAAGTCATCAAGAGCAATTGTCAAGAGGTCCGTTTTATTAATAAGTCCATTAATATTCTGATGCATTATGTAAAGACAGTCATACACGAAATAATTCATTAGTATTGGAGGCATCATTAGTGTTAGTATTATCAGTAATTTCTTTACAGTTTTCAATGTCGTTTTCTTTAGTAGTATTAATATAATTTATGGCATAATTTTTTGTATTTTCAATGTTATTTTTGTTAGTAATTTCACAAATCATGTCATAGTTTATAATATTAGTCTCAGTTTGCTTATTTTCAGTACTGCAATATACTATATTATTTCTGTTGACATTTTGGTCAACATTAGTATTTGAAAATTGAAAGCAAGTTTGAGTACTTTTGTCAACAAGAGATATATGTTTTGGTTGTACATTATAATTGTTTAATTTCATTTCCTCATTATATTTAATTATTTTATTTTTATATGTCAAATAGAGTATTTCTTTCAACAATGATCTAGTTAAGTTAATACAAAAATAACTTTTATATGGTATTGATCTGCTGTAATTCATATCCATATAAAGAACATTACGATAATTGCGGCATATGAATTTCAATTCATAATTTAATTTGCTTTCGTACAAGTTTTTATTATATGGAATTTCACTTACAATTACATTGGTGTGTTTCGTAGAGTTTAGCCACAAAGTGAGATTACTTTGAAATTCATATGGATTCTTATCATTTGTTCCTCCTAAAACAATTATATAGTCATCACTAGAAAGTTTTGCTATTTCAGTATTACAGGATTTTAATACGTCACATAATTTTGCCCCTGGTTTCAAAAAGCTTGTCACTTTGTATGAAGATCCTAAAAGGCCTTGTAATTTATAATATAAACCCTTTCCTTGTTGATCAGCTATAATGATTATTCTCTTTGTGCTTTCTTCTTTCTTTAAGTTAGGAATATTAATATTTTCTGAATTTTTAACATCACTAGCAGTTGCTTGATAAAGTTGAGAGTCACTTTTTCTGTGATCTTCATTATATTTATTATTGGTATCAGATTTTCCTATAATATCTTCTTTGGATGGTGATTTCAAAGGCAATATTAGTTTAGTGCCTTTTAACTCACTTGAAAAACAACGGCGTTTCCTTTTCCCAAATGAATAAACGGAGCTTGGAGTACTCGAGAATTGTACCAATTAAATAAAACAAAAGTCTTTTAGTTTATGCTTCCGATACTTCCGTTCCGTTGCCAAAACACAAGTAATGTAGAAATGGAATTAAAAAGTTTCGGAATGGAATTCTTAAGAACATTACACATCATTACAAATGATGCAGTATCAATTTATTTTTATGAAAACAAGGTAAAGACTTCTAAATTAATAATAAAATGTTTTGAGCTATTGCAAAGTAGTTTTTTAGTAGGTATTATTATTTATCACGATAAATATTATTGAAATAAATATTTTTGTTGTTGGTCCTAAAAATTATATGTACATCGAAACATAAAGTTATGTTAATCTACATTTTGTACTAAAACTTTCTTATTTAATGCACTTTTATATTGCTTAATGATATACCTAATATGAGGTTTTTTTCAGGTATTAGCTTACCTACCTAATAAAAATAACTGTGTATGCAAACGTTGATAAATTTCTAAACAAAACTGATTTCATGTTATTGGAGGAAGCAATATGGCCGTGATTGGTCACACATTTCCGAATTGCGGAAAAATGTTTCGGTTGTGGATATCGCACTTCTATCCATAAACCATACCACTTTATTATATCCGATAATCATAAAGTGAAGAATTTAATAAATAAGGTTTTTTTTTGGTGTCGGCGATTTACATTTTATGCAATATATGATCATTATTGTGAAGATGAATGTGATTATTGTAATACAGGTTGATATTTTTTTGTTCAAAAGCTTGGGTTTATTTCTTGGCCAAACTATAAGCTATTTTGAAGAACTGATAATGCAGACTTAGATAAATATTAAAATGCGTAGTCTTTTGGCCATTTTTTGGTATTCTTTATAGTTAACGATTTGGCCCTGAAAGCCCTCTTGGTAAACTCACCTGTACATGTTATTTATAAAAAAACATGTTGATTATTTCTATCTTACATAGAATTATGACTTCAGAAGTAATTATTTTACGCAGATTTGGTGTAATGTTGATCTCATTTTTCTGTTAATGTGTAATAGTCTTAACAATTATGTTCCGTTATGGGATCAATCCCTTCCGTGACTGTCCTTTATCAAATATTCTTTTATATTTTTTTTAGCGTGCAATGCTATTTAATTAATTTATGATGTTAATATTTAAGGTGTAATAATTTAATTAATGTTATTTTTAAAAAAGTACTTGTATTTTGTAATAACTGAGAACTGAGAATAGTAAACAAAAAGTATTCAAGTAACTTGGTCCAAAGAGTAACGTAATGGAAATGAAAATGATGATTATGTATGTTGGATATTGTTGATTTTATTTTTTATCTATTTTGTTTTATCAAAAATAACATGTGTCGTAAATTAAACTATTTCATTTAATTCCTATGACTTTTATTATATTTCTCTAATTGAAACCAAGTAGTTTCGGAATGGAATAAATTTAGTCATACAGAGATAATAAATCAGCAATATTGCGGTAAATAAACCTGTTAAAGAGGTTTTATTACTATTTTCATATAGAGAAAAGAATATCAAATCTAAATTTAATTTAAAAAACACCATAATACAAAATATTTAAAAATCAACATATTTTTAATATTGTACACTTTTTGTGAAAATGACCCACCCAGCCTAGAAGTAAATTTATCTGTGGACAACTTGAAGAACCTATCAAATTTATTCATAAAATCGTTTTAATTATAAACTAAATGAAAAAGCAATGTTTTTTCAGCAACAAATACATTTCTTAAATAAGCACACCTACATATGAAATAAATAATTTTATTTATTTAAGTTTGGTGGAGCATAAGGAGAGGGGAAGTCAGCATATAACTGCCAACATGGATATTGCCATTAGTAGCCTTGTTTGTTGAACTTATGCTTAGTTTTTGTCACAATACTAATGTAACTTTTTGTATTTGTATATTTTCTCCAATGTCCAATGTAATCAGATCTACTGCATACATGCCCCATTATTCACAAACACAATAGCATACTCTGGTGCTAATGTACCTAATTAAGAGTACAATGTCGATTGGTTGTGATCCTAATTGAGAGTAAGAGGGGCTGATTGACCTTTATACTGCTGTTAATTAATTGCAATTGAATGTTTTAAGCATTCAATTAAAGTGTAAGTTATGGCATAAGATTGTGTGCTTGGGATTGATTTATGCAAATACGCCCTGGTTTCTGGTTGTCACCCCTAATTGAGGGTGAAAAAATTTTTTTTTTGTGTATACTTCTGCCGAGCATGTGGGGCAGAACCACAAACACCTATTTCCCTGTCCATCTAACGACAACCTGGATCGAGCTACACATATTTCCTGGGTCAAAAAAACATTTTTTTTATTGCTCCATAATATCAACATTGACTTTTTTATAGCCCCCTATAAAAGTATTTGTCATCTGTCTGTACTGAGTTACAGTAATAAAACAAGACCTCTAGCATCAAAATCAACCTTAAGTTATCATTAACCACCCATTAGATTTGTTGCACTTTACAAAGAACTAGACAGAATAAAGATATGTTTCATATCATCAGTTACGCCTTCCAAAAGCGTCCCCACTCCGGTATGTCGTCGCCGCAGTACGCGCGACAGCCGCCAGGGCGCAGCTCCCCGGCGCCTCCCCGCACTCCCCCGAGCTCTGCTGGGGGCCAGGATGTTGTGGAAAGATATGAAAACATTGTCAAGTCCCAAGAAGATAAGAGAGATTACAGGTATTTATTATATCCAGTCTTTTTGTCAGTTTATTTATGGAATATTCTTAAATCTATTTATTTTGTTATGACATAAAATTTGGCACATGTGTAGATTACACAAGCGTTTTGGGCAATAATTTTTAACTATACATATAATATTGATGTGGATTTGGTACCGCAAATGTGACAATTCTGTTGCATAAACTAGACTAAATAAATGAAGATTCATTTTTATCAAAGTATATAGCTAAAATTGCAGAAATATATGTATTATATTATTACTTCACAACAGAATAATTTTAATTTAACCCCAATTAAACTTGTATGATTTTTGAGGTTAGACATTGCAGTAGGATCAAAATATTGTTTGTGTTGTTATAACATTTCTATTTATGTGACTTACATAGTTAACTTTTGTTTCAGAGGATTATTATTGGCTAATCGTCTGAAAGTTCTGTTAGTGAGCGATCCAACTACAGACAAGTCAGCCGCCGCTCTAGACGTCAATGTAGGTGAGAAAACTTAATTTATTTGTTTTTTAATTCGTCTACTCGAAGAATTCCTAAACTGTTATGGGTAAGAGAGCCCTATTCGAAAATGTACTGCTCTAATAAAAAAAAAAATCTTAAAATTCCTATCTCTAGGTTTTGATATACATAATTCAAACTTAAGTCATTCATACAGTATCTATTTTAAAAGATTGAAATAAATATTAGACAACATCATATATATTAAACAGATTTTAAATTAGTAGTTCAACTCCCAACATTGTATTAAAATTATAATGAGTCTTGTTTTAATATTCATAAGGTGTAAAATACTATCATTAAGTTTCATTCTGTTCATATTGGAAAGTGACTTCATATTCTAATGAAGTCACTTTTCAATAAGACTTCTCTGTGTGAAATAAAACAGGGAGAAAAAAAACAGCCCTTGCTGAGTTTCTTGTTGGTTCTTCTTAGTACAAGGTCTCCCGCCGTAGTTTTGCGAACCCATGGCCTAGTTTTCGACATTCACAAGTGATCCGTAAAAGCCTAAATTGAAAAAATAATTTTGATTTTTTTTTATTTTTGTCGTTTGCAGGGTACTTGAGCGACCCGGATGAGTTGCCCGGTCTGGCGCACTTCTGTGAGCACATGCTGTTTCTGGGAACGGAGAAATATCCTGAGGTAATAATTATATAGTATTCTAAGTAGATCACTAATTGCCTACTTGACTGTTTGGGGTAAACTACTTTAAACCTTCCATATGATCGTATTAAACCACTATCAGATCTATTTTTCTCCAAAAATTGTTAATGGAATAACTGTATTGATTCATACAGTTTTTTCTTTATTAAAAAAAATTGTATTAATTCATTTTAAGTTGCTCAGCAAAAACAAGCAGTCACGTGACATTTCGAGCCGTGACGTCACATTGCAACAGACTAGTACTGGTCGCACTCGCATAAAGACGTTGATTTTTAGTTTATTGAAATGTAACGTCATACGATACTCTGTATTGGCTGCTCGCGTTTCGGTTCTTGTTATCCACACATATAGAATTAAATATACTTAAAATTAATTTTAAAACAAATTTATATTAGGTTATAAAAGGTCTTAAAGTTATATTAAACAACGGAATCATGAGTCCCATAGAGTCACTCCAGATATAATTACACTTGTACATTTTCTACAAAACTGTGACGTAGCAAGCTCCCACTCTTCTACTTTAATGCCTATTAGCTATTCCTCGTTAAATTTAAGTAAAAACGGACTGTGTGACTGACGGACTAACAGTCACAAACATTAATGACGCCTTTAATATCTAATAGATGTCAAATTTGTATGGGTTATAACCAGAGGTCGGAATTAGGTAGAGTTATTTATGTACTTGCATCGAAATGTTGATATTAATGTGGACCTTCCCTACAAATGTGGCAACATCGCGCGTATTGGTATTTTGCAACTTTGGACATCCGATGTCATTAATGTAAGTTTGGCAACGTCGTGCGTGCAGTAGTTTAAATTGTGTAAAAGTAAATAACTTTTTATTTAAAAAATCACAGGATTTTTTCTGCTCTTTAAAATTAATCTCGGGATTTGAGGCATATCCACTATATTCTTTCACTGTATGAAATCAGTGTAAGTACATGAATAACTCTACCTAATTCCGACCACTGGTTATAACGCTTTAAACTAATAAAAAAATTTATGGATGTTTGTGCAACTAGATGTGAGAAGATTTTTTTCGGCGACCACGTTATACCTGTTGATGATTGTTTTGTTGTCAGGAGAACGAGTACAACAAGTATTTGTCTGAGCACGGCGGGTCATCGAACGCGTCCACCTCGTCCGACCACACCACCTACTACTTCGACGTGCTGCCCGCGCATCTACACGGCGCACTAGACATGTGAGTTACATACATGCTATGTTATACATCTATTTATCTATGTAGTTCACTAACTAGCTTTCCGCCAGCGGCTTCGCTCTCGTGGTCTTGTGTTGTACGTAAAAACCTTCCGTTTTGAATTACTCTATGAAAAAACCGCATCAAAATCCGTTACGTAGTTTTAAAGATTTAAGCACTCATACAGGGACAAAATTTTGTTTTATACTATGTAGACATTAAAGGAACACGTAAAGATTGTGTCCTTTACTGGAAATATTAGACAATTTTATTATAAAAATATTAATAAAGAAGGAAAAACCGAACAAGAGCGAATAGGGACTAGCGCACGATGGGTTCCCTAACATTATATATAAAAAATCAAAAAATCACGTTTGTTATATTTATTTCAGTCTCGTTTTAGTATTTATATATATATATATTGTATATTATTATCTCTGAAAATTTCAACTGTTCAACTGCAGAGGTTCATGAGATAGATACTGGTGATTAGTAATAAGGTCTCTTTTGGCCCTTTGGTTACGGAACGTACAATTTGAACGACTTCAGTTTCTTGCTTGCACGGTTCATAAACTCCACGAACGCGGACCCAGTCCAGATTGCTGGTGTTAACGAGTACAAATATAACCTGGACCAACGGCTTGACGTGTATGAGCAGCACGCAGAAGCTCTAAATATAATAAATATATTCCGTTCAGTGCCGTAGCGAGCCTCGGAGGGGCCCTTTATTAAAATTAGTTGGGAGGCCCAAAGGAAGGGTGAAAAGTTTTGTTTACACACATCAGCCCCTGTAGGCTTAGGGCCCCATATCATTGATACAGCAATAGCTACACCCCTGATTCGGTCACTCATTCTTTAGCTGGCCTTTACGAAAGTTGCATAATACGGTATTTAGATACAGATGTAATCTACTAATATTATAGTGAGAAAAGATTTTATTGTTTTTCGCATCGAGTAGGCTCCGAGACTAATGGACAGATTTTAAAAATTCTTTCATTTACAAGCTACATCATACGCGGGTGGCATAGGCTACATAGCAGCCCTTCCAAAAGTGGATAACAACGCCCCCTTGTGGGCGCTGTAGGCTTAAACGGGGCCGGCAAGCTACCCAGAAGAAAAATGGGAACGTTGACGCTTAGAGGGCGATTTGTTATTTTACACTTAACGAGCTTTCAACTATCGACTACATTACAAGTTGTGAACATCAACTAATAATATTAATTAAGATATTGCTCATAATAACTCGGTTTTATATTTCTCTCTGTGTAATTTATATATGCATGTCTGTCCTGTTTCTTGAATGAATAAAATAAAATTCAATTCAATTCGTCGCTCCGTTTAAAAGTCTTGTTTAGAATGAATTTTTATTTTCCCGTAATATAGCTCCCAATAATTAATATAATTTGAAGTTATAGTGATTTTTAAGTAGGATAAAAAATGGGGGTGCTTAAAAATCTTTTATTCTCAAAGTGGGCAGTAGATGACATAAGTTTGGGAATCCCTGCTTTATAGCCTTATATGTAGGTAGACATACACGTGATGATATGATTGTCATATTTCGGGGAGTCTATAAATTTGTCATATTTCGGGGAGTCTATAATATTTTTCTAACAAACGTACCTTGTGTAAGAGTAAGAGTGTTAGGTTACGTGTATGACTCCCATAATTTACGAAAAAACATGTACGATATTTATGTTATGGTCCGTTGGCAGTTTCGCCCAGTTCTTCATATCGCCCCTGTTCACGGAGTCGGCGACGGGCCGCGAGTTGTCCGCCGTCAACTCGGAGCACGAGAAGAACACCTCCTCGGACACGTGGCGGCTGGACCAGCTCAACAAGAGCACGGCCTCGCCCACGCATCCCTTCCACAAGTTCGGCACAGGTCAGATAGATTATACGTTTATTTTATCAATACATTTAATATATATAATAATGTATATTTGTACCATATACTATATATATATATATATAACGGCGGGTAGTCAGAAGGGGCTATTACGAAGCCCAAATACATCGTCCATATCAATATCTTTAAAATAACACTGCAGGCGTGTATACAAACGTGGATTTGTTCCATTTTATCACTTTTCATACGAAAATATAACGAGATGAGCGTGATCTCGTCGGATGTCTTTACTCCTCGGCGATCGGAAACAGAATGTGTGCCAAAATGGCGGCAACTTGCTTTTTATTAACGAACTGTCAAAGTCAGTGTCACCATTCTAATAAAATTAAAAGTATCGATGATCACGCTCTCTCTACAATCGAGTAATTAAGTAATCGAGTAACTTGCAATTAAAATAAAAGAAACTAAATCAAAAGATCTTCGTAAAGATGATGCGACATATTTATTAATATTTATATTAACATGTTAAGGTAACCGTGAGACTTTGGAGACAATACCCAAGGCGAAGGGCATCAACGTGCGAGATGAACTGCTCAAGTTCCACGACAAGTGGTACTCCTCCAACATCATGACCCTCGTCGTGCTCGGGAAAGGTAAATTATTATGATCTCTGTATTATCTGCGTTGTCCACGTTTTAATAAATTTCGTATTTTAACATCGTCCATTAATTAATGTAAAAATGTAAACATGGGTAAGGCTTACGGAATGTTAGGTTGCCTATTGTTAGGATTGAAAAACTACAAACAATACATTTCTGAAGAAAAAAACATGTTAATGAAGAGCGGAGTCCCCTGGTGCAGGCATTGTCACGCTTAAAAGGGGGCTCCAGTAATTAGTAATAGGTTTATTATCAGATAAGGTAAATAAATCTTTTTCATATGACTTAATGAATGTAGAAACAATGTTACTTTTCATCATCCTCCTGCCCTTTATCCCACGTTACGTGGGGTCGGCACAACATGTTTTCTTCTTCCATTCTTCTCTGTCAGACGTCAGCTCCACATCCACACCTTTCTTATTCATATCCTCTTTCACACAGTCGATCCATCTTTTCTTCGGTCTGCCTCTACTCACATATCCATCCACATGCATACCCATCACTCTTTTCGTAGCATGACTTTCGTCCCTTCTCAAAATATGCCCATACCACGCTAGTCGATTAATCCTCATTTTCTCCGTCACAGGTGCAACTTTCAGGCTTCCTCTTACGTACTCATTTCTAATCTTGTCCATTCGCGTCACTCCACACATCCATCTCAACATTCGCATCTCTGCCACATGTACTCGCCCTTCATCCGTCCCTTTTGTAGCCCAACATTCAGAACCATACAGTATGACAGGTCTTACGATCGTTTTATAGATTTTCCCCTTAAGTTTAAGGGACATTCGTGGATCGCATATCGTTCCTGAGACCTCTCGCCATTTCATCCATCCCTCACGTCACGGTCAATATCGCCATCGTTTTGTATTAATGACCCAAGGTACCTGAAGTCGGAGCAGATTGGTAAGGTTACACCATTTAAGGCAATGTTTTGGAAACCAGAGGTTCCACCAAAATCGCAGAACAGATGTTCGGTTTTGGTTCTGCTGATTTTGAGACCGAACTCCTCCAGTTTCTTTTGCCATTTTCCCAACCTGCTCTGGACCTCGAGTGCATCTTCACCGACCAGTACGATATCGTCAGCAAAAAGCATGCAGCAAGGTGCCTCCTCCTGTATGTCCGATGTCAGAGCATCCATTACCAGAAGGAACAAGTAAGGGCCTAAAGCCGATCCTTGGTGCACCCCGACGCCTACATCAAACTGGTCGGTCAATCCGGCTTCCGACCGGACGCGAGTGTTTGCTTTTTCATACATCGCTTTCACCAATCTTATATACTTACCTGGTATACCTTTCATGATCAGAGCCCACCATAACACACTCCGAGGGACCCTGTCGTATGCCTTTTCAAGGTCAACGAACACCATGTGTAAGTTTCTATGTGCACGTTTGTATTTTTCGCACAGCTGGCGAAGTGCAAATATGGCGTCCGTCGTACCTCGTCCAGGCATAAATCCGAACTGGTTTTGGGTCACCTCGCTCTCATCTCTCATTCTTCTTTCTATCACTTTCTCCCATATCTTCATCGTGTGCGCTATGAGCTTAATTCCTCGATAGTTGTTACAGTCTTGTATATCACCCTTTCTTTTATAGATGGGCACCAGCAAGCTGTTGCACCACTCGTCAGGGATCACCTCTTCTTGTAACAACTTATTGAAGAATAAAGTCAACCTCTTCCATCCATCAACTTTCAGAAACTTCCAAACTTCCACTGGTATAGCATCTGGGCCTGGTGCCTTTCCAATCTTCATAGTTCGTACTGCCGCTTTCACTTCCTCCACACTCACCGCCTTAACCATTCCTTTATTCACTTGCACGTTTTCTAGCACTCCACTCCAATCATTCTCCTCATTCGAAGTTTACCAAAATATCCCTTCCAACGCTCTCTAATATACTTATCCTCAGTTAAAACTTTTCCTCCTTCATCTTTCATACACTTCACATGCCCAATATCCCTTGCATTCTTCTCTTTTTCTCTGGCTGTCCTGTACAATGCTTTGTGACCCTGTGGTTTTTCTAGGAATGAGTACAGTTTATCCTGCACTATTGCCCTTGTAACAGCAATAGCCTTCCTCGCGTTCTTCTTTGTTTTCTTGTATACATTCTTTTTCATTTCTTTCATACCCTCATCATCGCTTTCAGTGTCCTTCCATTCCTTAAACGCATTCTTTTTATCTTTTACACTCTTTTGTACTTCCTCGCTCCACCACCAAGTTTCTCTGTCTATTTTCCCTTTCCCTTTCGTTTCCCCAAACACTCTTCTACCTTCACCTCTGATACATTCTGACATTACATTCCAGCATTCGTTAACTGTCTTTCCATCACTCCCTTTCGAAATTCTTCTGTACGCTCTCTGTCCTCTAATAAACTCCATTTAATCTTGGGTGGTAGCTTAGTTCGGGTTTTGATGGACTTGACCAGAAGTTTAATCTCTAAGATTAGAAGTTTATGTTGGGAGACAAGGGATTCGCCAGGTACAACCTTACCATTTTTGACATACTTCAAATTTCTCCTTCTTAATAACCAGTAATCAATTTGGGTATTGTGGTTTCCACTATTGTACGTTATCAGATGTTGGTCTTTCTTTTGGAAAAAGGTGTTTGTTATTGCAAGGTCGTATGCAATAGCAGTTTGAAGTAAAGTGTCTCCTTCTACGTTTCTGGTACCATAGCCCCACCCTCCATGCACTCTTTCATACCCAACATTCGTTCTACCTACGTGGCCGTTAAAATCTCCTCCCAAAAACTTCTCTTTCATACTTTGGTCACAGCCTGTTTGTGGTGCATATGCACTAATAACAGTCAGAACTGCATCACCTAACAAAAGTTTCACTACAATCAATCTATCATTTATCCTCTTTACATCCGTCACGCTTTCTTTCAACTCTCTGTCAAGTACAATACCCACTCCATTCTTCCTTCCGTCACTTCCACAATAATAAAATTTGTAACCCGCCCCAATTTCCCTTGCTTTCGTCCCCTTCCACTTCGTTTCTTGCAAACAAGCAATATTCACTCGTCTCCTTTGCGAAACATCCGCTAACTCTCTTCCTCTTCCAGTCATCGTACCTACATTCCAGCTTGCCATTCTTACTTTCATTCCCCGGACTCGCGTCTTACGTTGCATCCGTCCTTGATGCAACAACCCTCGCCCATTTCTCACATCCGCCGGGTGCTGCGTCTGCGCGTCGCCTCGGGGGTACGCCCTAGCATTTACACGCATTCCATCATCCGACATAATCATGTTGTTGTATGATTTGGCTGAAATTTACGACCGGCCGCCTGCCTGACGTCTACCCTCCTTGGGAATGCATTCGTAGGTGATTTTCCCGTCACCTTACGGGCGAAATAGGATTTCGGTGGAAGAATATGGTTGGAAAAAGTATGAGGGAAATCTAGGATAGGGAAACAGGTGGGATACTGCCACCACGGACGGAAGTAGGAAAGTGGCATGCAGTAGCTCGGGCAGTCCGGGGTTGCTTACCCATAACCACATCTGGTTGACGTAAAGTTTGTCAACAATACATTATGATTGTGAGCTTGTATAAAACAATTTGCATACCATTAATAATAAAAAACATCTTTGGTCTTTGTTCAAATAAACTTAATACTATTTTGGAATGTGTATCTCTATTAAATAAATAATTTAATTAAATTCTTAAGTAGATATCAGTATCTTCACCAGACTATCACTAGTGGAATGCCTCCAACCATTATTTTAATAAGACCCTTGGAAGACAATTAACAAACATTTATGTTCATATTTCAGTAAAATCCAAAACACGAATAGTATAATAATGTCTGTCGCTTATTATTAGGACGGATTAAATACAGTAGTAGACACCTAATGGAATTGAAAATTCAAATATAAAATGATATGTCGTAAACTTCACAATTGTTCAGAAGTGGATTTTGAGTTGGCAGAGACTTTGTATAGCTAACAAAGGGAATACCTATGTCGACTAGCTAAATATTTTGAATTCGGGTTGTTGCTAGGGACTGTGAGCTTATGTTTTTCACATAACAAATAAATTGCTGAGATTTATTCATTTACCCTTCACCTTTAAAATTAAGTTGTTTGTATTTCTATTTGCTTATCAAAAGGGTTAGCTTATTCTTGCTACCAAACTCTGTCGTTACACTGTTTAGCAATCTTTTTGAGATCACTTTAATGTTCAAAACAATGTTACTTTTATAAAATGAAATAAAATGTCTTTATTCAAGTAAGCTTGTTACAAGCACTTTTGACTTACTTATTTACTTATATAATAGCTCTGTAAGATGTCAACTTGAATATGCGTCTTCTGTTTGGAACCCGCAGTATTCAATGTATATAAAAGCTGTAGAAGAAATTCAAATCAAATTTATTAGAAGGCTGAAGTACTGGTTTCAGGGATTTTGTCAGGACAAAATTAAATCAATGTCGCGTCGAAGGAAGTTTAGGGACTTTACATCAAAAATCGTGTCTATTTTCCTTTTTTAATCAGTAAAATTTTTATTATAAGGAGTAACCTGCGTTCTAGGGATACTTATTCCGTTCCTTGGAGCTGAACTAATTATATTAATAACTGTTTCGTTGCTAGAACTATAAATGTTTACAATTCTAGGTACGGTCGTGTTGATATTGTCAATCTCAAAACATATCAATTATAAAAAAAAATCTAATTTTTCTCAGATACTTCAAACTATTAACGCGATAGAATTTGATAGTTACGTTTTTCACCTACATATATTTGCTGAGGTCAATGAAGTACTTGGACGATGAGGTCATTAAGTGTGTAGTTACTGAGGTCAATGATTAATTTGGGCGCTGAGGTCAATGAAGTACTTGGACGATGAGGTCATTAAGTGTGTGGTTACTGAGCCAATGAAGTACTTGGACGATGAGGTCATGGAGTCTGTGGTTGCTGAGGTCAATGAAGTACAGTGGCGTTGAGGTCAATAAAGAACTTGGGCGCTGAGGTCAATGAAGCCCTTGGTAGCTTAGGTCAAATTAGTACTTTGTCACTTAAGTCAATTAAGTGCTGAGGTCAATGAAGTACAGTGGCGTTGAGGTCAATAAAGTACTTGGTGCTGAGCTCAATGAAGCCCTTGGTAGCTTAGGTCGAATTAGTACTTTGTCGCTAAGTCAATGAAGTGCTGAGGTCAATGAAGTACAGTGGCGTTGAGGTCAATAAAGTACTTGGGTGCTGAGCTCAATGAAGCCCTTGGTAGCTGTGGTCAAATTAGTACTTTGTCGCTAAAGACAATGTAGCACCTGGGCGCTGAGGTCAATGAATATTTGGTTGCTGAGGTCAATGATGTACTTGGTCGCTGAGGTCAATGAATATTTGGTTGCTGAGGTCAATGAATATTTGGTTGCTGAGGTCAATGATGTACTTGGTCGCTGAGGTCAATGATTAACTTGGGTGGGATATACGATATACGCTCTGTAGTTGCGAAAAAGTAACAAACAAGTGCTTGAAGAATTCGTCAGTTCTGTTAGTGGCTCATTGGTTAGAGCAGTCGCCCGGATTGCGAAAGGCCATAGGTTGGAGTCCCATCTCAGAGTGACAGGGACAAATTGGACTTTTAAGAATTTTTCATTAAGAATATTTATAATTATTTCTTTCATCTCGTAGTCTATTATTAAGGTGTTTTCATACTGCGACGACAACTACACGATACGATACTTAAATATTGTCAGCTCGAACGAAAACGATATCGGTATGTGACACGATTTAACCAACAGCTTGCTAGCGGTTAGTCAAAAGTAAGTTTCGAATATTGATAGTAATGTTTTATTATAATTTTTTGTATTTGTTGTTGAAGCGGCAACAGAAATACATCGGCTATCAAAATATCAACTGGCCTTATACGACACGGTTCACGAGTTACAACCCGGTGAAAGACGAACAGGTTTCCCATTAGTACCCTTTGGGTACGGTACCCTAATAAAAACTAAAAAAAGTGTTTTTGCGTCGTATATCACATCGGTAACGTAATTTATAGCTGCTGGTTTTGACATATGAATAAATATGCACGTGTAGAGTCTCTGGACGAGCTGGAGGCGATGGTGGTCCCGCTGTTCCGTCAGGTGGAGGACGCGTCGGTGGCGGCGCCGTGGTGGGGGGAGCACCCCTTCCCCCCGGCGCTGCGCCGCAAGCGCGTCTGCTGCGTGCCCGTCAAGGACCTGCGCTCGCTCTCCATAGACTTCCCCATACCCGACACCAGGAAGCACTACAAGAGCGGGGTGCGCATCACATATCTTACGCTCAAAGATCGAAAAAATTCTTCACGACGCGTTGTGGCAATCGAAGGAAAGCCACGATGCGTTCTGAGCGTCGACCGGTTTAACCAGTTGTTTCATTTTACAATAGCGATTAGCTCCTGGCTGTTTGTCATACTCTAACCTCACTTAACTTAACCTAATCTGGTTCTTCATTGCCACAACGCGTCGTGAGCGTGTCCAAAAGAACCATAACACTAATTTAGCTATGGAGATAATTTACTATGACCACAACGTGTTGTGAAATATTTTTACGCTCAATGAGCGATTTTGATCTTTGAGCGAAACGTATATATATTTCGTCTTTTGATATTATTTGATATCTAGAAACCATAAATATCCAGGGCCACGACAGTTATCCGCCAAGACCAGTCAAACGAAATGCAAGGCCCTGCCTACATTTTCTCGAAACGCTTCGTCGATTTTACAAACTTTTATTTAGTTTCACCTGTCCGATGTTTGTCTTTCTGTTTTGCAAACTAAATTTATACCACTTCCCATTCTGAAGATGCAATTATATAAAAGCGGCCATTTTGGATTAATTACTATTAATCCAAAATGGTCGCTGTAACAAAATGGCGCGGATGAGCTCCAGATAATAAGTTTTCGGTCACCCGTCTTATGGCTGGCCTTCGCGAAAGTTGCTTAATTTTTTTATCGCAGACAATCGCGCTAATAACTGCACTCTTTAGCTCATCAAACTATGAGTGAAGTGAATGTCATTAATATAGTAAAGATACCTACTATTTATAAGCAGAATGTCCCTGGGTTATGGTCCATTTACACGAGGCAAATACTGACTGGCATACTGAGTTATCTGTGCTGTTTGGTCTCGTGTAAATGAACCATTAGAGAGAGATAGAGATGATCACTTTACCGTACCTGCTTTTATGTTCCCAGCCAGGTCATTACTTGTCCCACCTGCTGGGACACGAGGGTCCTGGCAGCTTGCTGTCAGCGCTCAAAGCTAAAGGCTGGTGTAACAGGTACTTACGACATTTTATTTAACTTGCTGTGTTAGTTCGTTAGTTAGTGTGGGTAATAGTAACATCCACGTAAAGAGTTCATCATCATAGATTAATGGAAACACTGGCAATTATAAAAAGAGTAACAAAAAAAGAATATACATAAGATATATTCTCTCTGATCCGATAATTTTCTAAATTTGCTTTAATATTATATTTTTAAGACTGGAAATCTAGAAAACGTGAATAAACAAATTTTATTGAATTTTGTTTGTAAGACAGTGATTATAGTTATTTATTTTAAAATCGGTACTATTCAGACTAAAGAATTTGTGTAAATAATTGAAAGTTTTTCTATTTTCGTCATTGCTACTGTCATTGAGTCTATGTAAATATTTTTTAACATTATTTTGTTTTTGTTTTATTTTCAATTATTTAAAAGTGCAAGAATATTTTAATACTCGAACAATATCTATAAGTATTCTTAATGAAAAATACTTAAAAAATCCTCTTGGTTCCTGGCACCCTGAGATGGAATCCGAACCCATGACCTCTATAATAATAAATACCCATGACCTCTATGTGTATTGCTATGTTCAATAAAGTTCCACAAAATGTAATTGACCTACCCATAAATAAATCTAAAATTCATGTAAAGAATATACTTATGAGTAAAGGCTATTATAAAGTTGATGATTATTTTAAGGATCGCAATGCATGGAATTAATAGCCTTCGCTTTGTTCTATAAAGACTACTTATATGTTCAACCTATGTCCTACAGACTTTGAATGTTGTATTTATTATTGTTCAATATATGTATTATTTTGGTAATGACATGATTTATGGAAATGTCATTACTTATGATAAAAAGCTGTTAAGTTTCTTTCGCTTGTTCTTCTTGTCAGCTAAAAGACGTCCTGAACAAGTGGTAGGGGAAAAAATTTTTTTTGGACGATTTAAAAGTGCTTTAATTAGCCTACTTGAATAAAGATATTTTCATTTCATATAATAATAAATAGGCGTTGTTTACGACTAATGTGACAGATGTCGCCAGAGTGACGTCATATAAAGGCGGGTCTTGTTTCGAAACACGTGACGCTCATACAAAAAATCTCGACTTTTAAGATATTAATTATGCTATTTTATGACTCAAAATCTCTTTTGGTGTTTTTTTATGTTTTGGTGCTATTTCTTGGCTCTTTTATCACCACCGAAAGTGCCTTGTTGTGATAATTTGTGGTGTACAGTTTGGTTGGCGGCACGCGTATCGGAGCCCGCGGGTTCGGTTTCTTCGGCGTGCAGGTGGACCTCACCGAAGATGGAGTGGAACATATTGACGATATAGTCAAACTGGTGTTCCAAGTAAGTGATCTCAACTATAATGACCAATATGTATGTAGGCAGTACACGAAAATAAATATATATTATTATTTTTCTCGTACTGTTTAATATACTCTTATATTTTATATTCTATTACACTATTATGCTTATTATATTAATATTATTGCACCCCTATTATATAGTTTTCTATTTTTAAATGTGTAAAACAATATGTTGTCGCTAGAAAGCAAACACGGAGTAATTCGCAAAAATAAAATTGTTTTTTTTTTACTTTCTACAAGTTTTAAGCTAATCGAGAATCCGTAAATGAATGAATACTCTTAAATAAAGTAAAATAAAAATCTCACTTTATTTGTGCATCAATGAATTGTTCAGAGTTGATCTTAAGTAATATATCTTTCCGTTCCAAATTGCTTTAAATCTGTATATTTACACAGAATTTAAAATCAGTTTTTTTTTTTACTTTTTAATCTACTTACGTCATATTAAACCACTATCAGCTTTAGTTTTCTCCAAAAAGTGTTATTAATAAATAAAAACACATACTTTTATTCAATAGTTTAAATTGTCCTACGAAATCGATCAATCCTGTGACATTATAATAAACATGATTATTAAATTAAGTTTATTGAATTGTGACGTCACACGATACTCCGCCGTGGTCGCTCGCGTTTTGGTTCTCGTGTACCACAGATTTTAATCCCAAGTTAATTTTATGAAAATAAAATGTACTTCCATTTTATTTTAAAACAAAAAATATAACATAGAAGTTACCATATCCGACATAATTCATACTTTACTATCGAGTCCAAGTTTTATAAAAGATTACAAAACCGTTTCAATTTGGAACAAATGATTTAAACGTTTTATAAAACGACAACATCGTAAGCTTGTCTATAAGGTTTACTGTATATGATCTGTACTCGTCCAGTACATCTCGATGGTGCGGTCTGTGGGCCCGCAGCGATGGGTGTGGGAGGAGCAGCGGGACCTGATGGCGATGGAGTTCCGGTTCAAGGACGCGCAGGAGCCGCGCTCCCTCGTCACCTCGCACGTGCATCTGCTGCAGGTACACGCCACCATCAACCCTCTTATGTCCTCCCCCGCAGTGGCTCAGTCCTTTCTTACGAATGGTTAAGGAAGATATGCCGTGACCCTCCACACTGGCCCAATGCAGATTGGAGGATATTAACGTCCGGGACTGACGGTGTAACGTGCCTTCCGAAGCACGGAGTAGCTCGAGATAATCGTTTTGCGGTCACCGATCCCGTGACCGACCCTTGCGAAAGTTGTTTAACGACAGCAATCACGCGCTACTTATATACTTCGCCACCGAGCTACTATTTTCTTACCACCTAATTCACCTAGCCTAGCAGCCAGCGATGCTCTGAAGAGCTTATTTTCTTCTTTTATAATAATTTTAATGTCTGTTTATGTAAAGTGTGCTTCTTACAAGAAAACATATTAAGGGTATGTTCCGATATACACTGCGAGCACTGCGCAGTGGTCTTACTGCTGAAAAATCCGTTCCGTTATGGACTGCCAGTACACTGCTACAGTACCCTAGGGAAATTCATGACGTCATAAATTGCCGCCATATTTGTACTGTGAGCACTGGAGATTTCGAGGTAAGGTGCTCGCAGTGCTTTTGATCACGTGATCAGTCGAAACAGAATCAGAAAATGATAAGTTTCTAAATAAACAAAAAAAAAAAAACTTATGTTTATTTATAAGATGGATTTTATTGATAAATAATCTTTTTATACAATTTTCCAATTTTCTTTTGAAAAGAGGGAATCTTTATATTTATATTCACCTTGCATTAACAAATTTGAAAATGGCGCCAAAAAATAGGATTAACAGTATACTGGACTGCGTTCCGTTTTAAAAAGTCACCAGTATAACTAGCTATAAAGGAACGGGCTTCCAGTATACTAAATTGACGTCATACTGTTCAGTGGTCGCAGTGTATATCGGAACATACCCTAAATATTTCCTTTTGTGTCAGCCGTAAAGCTTCTTTCCGGTGAAAAAAAAAACGCATAATTTAAATCGATATAGATTTGGCATTTAGCGAACAAGAAGACATAAAAATTATGGTATTTGGTGTAACCAAAAATCTTGATCCAGTGATACTTACAAAAAATAGTTGTACAACACAAAATATCGTACGAATTAACATGATACTTTCATTTTTCCTGATTCCCTAACTCATCGTGGGCGAGCATTAAATATTGGTGATGTACTTATGAGACAGAATATATTCAGAAGGTAATCAAGTGTATGTATGTCATTTTTCATACCTACGCTCGGCGGTCGCGCCATTAGCTCTAACTTTTGGCTATATGGCATACACAATAAACTATCGTTCAGGTCAGTGAAGTACTTGGGCGCTGAGATAAATTAAATCTTTGGTAGCTGAGGTCAAAAACGTACTTGAGCGTCGAACTAAGACGCCGAAGTCAATGAAGCTCTTGAGCGCTAAGGTCAATGACGTATTTCGTCGCTGAAGTCAGTGAAGTCAATTTAGTATGTGGTCTCTAATATGTGGTTGCTGAGGTCAATGAAGCTCTTGGGCGCTGAGGATCTTAAAGTATTTGGGTGCTGAGCTCAATGAAGCCGAGGTAGCTGAGGTCGAATTATTAATTAGTCGTTAATTAAGTACTTGGGCGGTGAGGTCAATTTAGTGTGTGGTCGTTGAGGTCAATATAGCACTTGGGCACTGGGTCAATTAAGTACTTGGGTGCTGTGGTCAATGTAGTACTTGGTCGCTGAGGTCAATGATTAACTTGGGTGCTGAGGTCAATGATTAACTTGGTAGATGAGATCAATGAAGTACTTGGTCGTTGAGGTCAATGATTAACTTGGATGCTAAGGTCAATGGTTAACTTGGACACTGAGGTCAATGAATATTTGGTTGGTGAGATCAATGAAGTACTTGGTCATTGAGGTCAATGATGATCTTGGGTGCTGAGGTCAATGGTTAACTTGGGCGCTGTGGTCAATGTAGTACTTGGTCGCTGAGGTCAATGATTAACTTGGGTGCTGAGGTCAATGATTAACTTGGTAGATGAGGTCAATGAAGTACTTGGTCGTTGAGGTCAATGATTAACTTAGATGCTAAGGTCAATGGTTAACATGGACACTGAGGTCAATGAATATTTGGTTGGTGAATTCAATGAAGTACTTGGTCATTGAGGTCAATGATGATCTTGGGTGCTGAGGTCAATGGTTAACTTGGGCGCTGATGTCAATGAATATCTAGTTGCTGAGGTCAATGAAGTACTTGGACGATGAGGTCATTAAATGTGTGTTTACTGAGGTCAGTGAAGTACTTGGACGATGAAGCCCGTAAGTGTGTGGTTGCTGAGTTCAATGAAGTACAGTGGCGTTGAGGTCAATAAAGTACTTGGGTGCTGAGCTCAATGAAGCCCTTGGTAGCTGAAGTCAAATAAGTACTTTTTGCTAAAGTCAATGAAGTATTTGGGCGTTGAGGTCAATGAATATTTGGTTGCTGTGGTCAATGAAGTACTTGGTCGCTTAGTAGATGAGGTCAATGAAGTACTTGGTCGTTGAGGTCAATGATTAACTTGGGTGCTAAGGTCAATGGTTAACTTGGTCGCTGAGGTCAATGATTAACTAGGTGCTGAGGTCAATGGGTAACTGGGGCGCTGAGGTCAATGAATTACTTTTTCGCAGAGGTCAATGATTAACTTGGGTGCTGAGGTCAATGGTTAACTTGGGCGCTGATGTCAATGAATATTTGGTTGCTGAGGTCAATGAAGTACTTGGTCGCAGACGTTAATGATTAACTTGGGTGCTGAGGTCAAAGGTTAACTTGGGCGCTGAGGTCAATGAATATTTGGTTGCTGAAGTCAATGAAGTATTTGGACGATGAGGTCATTAAGTGTGTGGTTACTAAGGTCAATGAAGTTCTTGGTCGTTGAGGTCAATGATTAACTGGGTGCTGAGGTCAATGATTAACTTGGTAGATGAGGTCAATGAAGTACTTGGTCGTTGAGGTCAATGATTAACTTGGGTGCTAAGGTCAATGGTTAACTTGGTCGCTGAGGTCAATGATTAAATGGGTGCTGAGGTCAATGGGTAACTGGGGCGCTGAGGTCAATGAAGTACTTTTTCGCAGAGGTCAATGATTAACTTGGGTGCTGAGGTCAATGGTTAACTTGGGCGCTGATGTCAATGAATATTTGGTTGCTGAGGTCAATGAAGTACTTGGTCGCAGACGTTAATGATTAACTTGGGTGCTGAGGTCAAAGGTTAACTTAGGCGCTGAGGTCAATGAATATTTGGTTGCTGAAGTCAATGAAGTATTTGGACGATGAGGTCATTAAGTGTGTGGCTACTAAGGTCAATGAAGTTCTTGATCGTTGAGGTCAATGATTAACTTGGGTGCTAAGGTCAATGGTTAACTTGGTAGATGAGGTCAATGAAGTACTTGGTCGTTGAGGTCAATGATTAACTTAGATGCTAAGGTCAATGGTTAACATGGACACTGAGGTCAATGAATATTTGGTTGGTGAATTCAATGAAGTACTTGGTCATTGAGGTCAATGATGATCTTGGGTGCTGAGGTCAATGGTTAACTTGGGCGCTGATGTCAATGAATATCTAGTTGCTGAGGTCAATGAAGTACTTGGACGATGAGGTCATTAAATGTGTGTTTACTGAGGTCAGTGAAGTACTTGGACGATGAAGCCCGTAAGTGTGTGGTTGCTGAGTTCAATGAAGTACAGTGGCGTTGAGGTCAATAAAGTACTTGGGTGCTGAGCTCAATGAAGCCCTTGGTAGCTGAAGTCAAATAAGTACTTTTTGCTAAAGTCAATGAAGTATTTGGGCGTTGAGGTCAATGAATATTTGGTTGCTGTGGTCAATGAAGTACTTGGTCGCTTAGTAGATGAGGTCAATGAAGTACTTGGTCGTTGAGGTCAATGATTAACTTGGGTGCTAAGGTCAATGGTTAACTTGGTCGCTGAGGTCAATGATTAACTAGGTGCTGAGGTCAATGGGTAACTGGGGCGCTGAGGTCAATGAATTACTTTTTCGCAGAGGTCAATGATTAACTTGGGTGCTGAGGTCAATGGTTAACTTGGGCGCTGATGTCAATGAATATTTGGTTGCTGAGGTCAATGAAGTACTTGGTCGCAGACGTTAATGATTAACTTGGGTGCTGAGGTCAAAGGTTAACTTGGGCGCTGAGGTCAATGAATATTTGGTTGCTGAAGTCAATGAAGTATTTGGACGATGAGGTCATTAAGTGTGTGGTTACTAAGGTCAATGAAGTTCTTGGTCGTTGAGGTCAATGATTAACTGGGTGCTGAGGTCAATGATTAACTTGGTAGATGAGGTCAATGAAGTACTTGGTCGTTGAGGTCAATGATTAACTTGGGTGCTAAGGTCTATGGTTAACTTGGTCGCTGAGGTCAATGATTAAATGGGTGCTGAGGTCAATGGGTAACTGGGGCGCTGAGGTCAATGAAGTACTTTTTCGCAGAGGTCAATGATTAACTTGGGTGCTGAGGTCAATGGTTAACTTGGGCGCTGATGTCAATGAATATTTGGTTGCTGAGGTCAATGAAGTACTTGGTCGCAGACGTTAATGATTAACTTGGGTGCTGAGGTCAAAGGTTAACTTAGGCGCTGAGGTCAATGAATATTTGGTTGCTGAAGTCAATGAAGTATTTGGACGATGAGGTCATTAAGTGTGTGGCTACTAAGGTCAATGAAGTTCTTGGTCGTTGAGGTCAATGATTAACTTGGGTGCTAAGGTCAATGGTTAACTTGGTCGCTGAGGTCAATGATTGAATGGGTGCTGAGGTCAATGATTAACTTGGTAGATGAGGTCAATGAAGTTCTTGGTCGTTGAGGTCAATGATTAACTTGGGTGCTGAGGTCAATGGGTAACTGGGGCGATGAGGTCAATGAAGTACTTGGTCGCAGAGGTCAATGATTAACTTGGGTGCTAAGGTCAATGGTTAACTTGGTCGCTGAGGTCAATGATTAACTTGGGTGCTGAGGTCAATGGGCAACTTGGGTGCTGAGGTCAATGAT